CATCACCTCCAGTCTCTCTCTCTAAAACCTTCAAATCAGGCAAGAAATCTCGGGGTAATAATGGACTCAGACTTGAACTTTAACAGCCACATCAACTCAATAACATCTGCAGCCTTTTACCATCTAAAAAACAGAGCAAAAATCAAAGGTTTACTGTCTAAATCAGACTTGGAGAAACTTATCCATGTGTTTGTCTCCAGTAGGTTAGATACTGTAATGTTCTGCTCACTGGTCTCTCCAAACGAGCTGTGAGACGCTGCAGAACATCCAGAACATCCAGAACATCCAGAACATCCAGAACACTGCAGCTCGGGTCCTGACTCGAACTAGGAAGTACGAGCACATAAGTCCTGTCTCAGGTCTCTGCACTGGCTCCTGTGCCTCAGAGACTTTAAAGCAGTCTCTGTTTGTACAAGTCTCTCCATGTCCAAGCACCAAAGTCCATCTGTGACATGTTAGTGTCATATGAACCATCTCACACTCTGAGGAGCTCAGGGACCAACTCCTGCTGGTGCCCAGAGTCACGACTAAACAAGGGGAGTCAGAGTTTCAGGTTCATGCAGCTAAAACCTGGAACAGTCTGAACATGTGAGACAGACTCTTCTGTGACGCTGTTTAAATCCAGACTCTAAACATTTCTGTTTAACTGTGCAATATAACTGAAAGGTTTTCATTCACTCTTCTCTCCAATTTATGTCTCTCTTTTTTATTTTAATCTTCATGATTATTTATGTTTTGATTTGTTTTTATTATGATTTTAATGTATTTCTTATTCTGTAAAACACTTTGAATTACTTTGTGTACGAATTGTGCTGTACAAATAAACTTGCCTTGCCTTTAAACAATAGGAGAGACAAAGGTCTGAAACCCAACTGCTTGATTGGATTTGCATTCACATTCACCTTCCTGACCAGCTTGCTTCTAGATAAGATTAGATAAGCAAAAAGGAACAGAAGCATTTACATTTGAAGGATGCAAGGAAGCAGGAGCGTTTACACTGAAGGGTCTTTTCCCAACTTTATGAGTTTCAGTTACAAGACCAAATGTTGTTTCTAAAAGACAAAATAATCACACAATATTTTAATTTCCTTTACATTACTTTCTACATTTTGACCTCGAAATTGACAATAAAAGGACATGCCCGACCTCAATGACCCCAACAGAAAAAATGTAGCCCTGTATGTCGACTACAACATATAAAAAAATGTGGAGGGGTTTTCTTTTCCATATTTCAGGAAACTGGGATAGAATTAAGACCCGTGTAAAATGTAAATAGAGACTCCACGTGTTTGCACTACAGTTACAGTTTGTTCTCTAATGACTCTATGACCTGACCTCATAGTTATTTATGACCAACTGTATCGGCTCCTGTTTTCAGTTTCTATGTTGCGATAACAGTGGTTTCAGAGATATAATACAAAGCACATACTGTTGTGAACTCAAGGCTGTGCTGGTCACACCTTGAAAAGATTGGCCATAAAAACCCATTTAGACTTCTTAGTTTCCTTATAAGAACATCGTCATACTTTCTATTCCATGTACCGTCTTTTTTTGGACTATAAGTGGCTCCAGAGTATAAGTTGGACTTTTTGGGGGAAATGTACTTTATAAAATGAGAGACCAGGAGCCGACGTTTCCTGTGTAAAGTCACGTTGTAGTAAAAAACAATAGAAGAGAGAACAACAGACTGTTAACGTCACATATGAACAGTTCTTCAGATAAACTATAACATAAACAACAGAACAGAACAAGTTTAACCAAACTCTCCATCTCACTCCAAATCACTAAATCCATTCAGTTCTTCATCCTCGGTGTCACTTCTGAACAACTTGGCCTCGACCTCCGGAGGTAAAGGAGGTAAACAGAGACTTCCTCTTCTGTGTCGCTGTCGTCAGACTCAGCATCAGTTCCAGTTAGAATTATTCTGGTCTTTCTGAATCCCGCCCGGATGTTTTCGGTGTCACTGAAGTCCAGGCTTTGTCCGTCCGTCCAGTGACTTCAGGAAAGTTTCACGGTGCATCCTCCCGGTGTCACAAGTTTGTCGCTCACTCCAAACTTTCTTTCTGCTGCTCGATTTCTGTTTTTGGCTGAATATTTGAAGTGTTAGAACTGTTGTAGTCTGCACTGAAATGGAGCAAAGGATCATGGTCTATGTAGTTCGTTCTGTCTTTCTAGCTGTTGCTGCACCATAACTCTTCATTTAAGCAAAGAGACTTGTAATCCGATATATTGTGATGGTCCAAGACATTATTGTGAGAACTTTGACGATACGACATCACGATATTTTAGTTATCGTTACATCTCTACCCTACAGTGAATGACCGAGAACAGTGGACGACCGATTATTTTTTGTTCAGCGTCTGGACCGTACAGTTTGTCTGATGTGTAAAGAAAGTGTGGAGGTTTTCAAAGAATAAAATCTGCGTCATCACTACGAAACCCGCCACAAACGAGAGAAGATGAAAAGAAGTTTAGTGATCCTTGTCCTAAGTGAAGCACAGAGTGGGACAAGGACAAAAAAACAACACCGCAGCAACGTAAGCACACGATAAACCACAATACAACAGCGAGGGCATGGGATACAAGGCCTGGAGTCGGCCTCGGTCGGGTTCCCGTCAGAGTCCACATCAGCAGGCGTCAGTTCAAGTTTCTCTCTTATCTCCAGGGTGAGTAAATTCCGCCGGCCTTGGCCAAGACAGGCTTTGTCTGAGGAAGGCCGGTAAGATAGGATCGGGTTGTTTGGATTTGGGTTGAGCAGCTGCGATCCGTTGTTTATGATGTGAAAATTGCCACAAAATCCAACATCTTTTAAAGTTGTAGGTCCCTGTCAGTAGCCAGGCTGGTACCACCTAGTGCCTCCGCTCGATTTCATTTCTCTTCAGCCACAAGGTCAGGAATCAGAATACACTAGACCACAGGTGTCAAACATACGGCCCGGGGGCTAGATCCGGCCCTCCAAGACCTTTAATCTGGCCCTCGGCTGATTTTCCACTCAAATATTTGAATATTATTTTCTATTAAAATGTTGGTAATTTTCTGTGCCGCTGAGCATAGCAGCGTCTCCAGTGTCTCTGTACGTGGCCCCTCCCACCAGAGCAACACAAATGAAGACTTGTCTCTTTCCAAACGCTCTTAAAGGACAAACATAAACATGAGAAAAGTGGAGTCGAGTGCAGGATTTAAAAAAAAAAAGACTTATTCCTATTTGCAAACAAGTTAATGTTAAAACATTGTGTTGAAATTGCATTTTTTTTTTAAGTTTCAGGTTGTTCATTTTGTAAAAGAAAGAGTTCATCAGTTAAAAAAGATTTCTGTAATAGATTTGTGTTTCTGTGTGTTTATATGACATGAGTTTTCTGATCCGGCCCCTTTGGGATCAAAGTAGGTTGGATACGACCCCTGGACCAAAATGAGTTTGACACCCCTGCACTAGACGGTTTGCAAGAACCCCAGAAGTGCGAGTTCGTGCACCAAGAGCCAGACATTCTGTGTTGGCAACGATTCCCGAGATCGAGGATTTAAAGCCGGAACAAAGAGAATGTTTGGTGAATTTTATCAAGTGGAAAGACGTTATTGTTCTTCTTCCTACAGGGATTTGGAGCATTACATACGTCACGATCAAACAGCAGCGATTGGTTAAATTAAAAAATTTACCCGTCTACAGTCGAGTGAACGAATCCTAATGCTGCGAGGTCACACTGTTTACACCAAGTCAAACCGGCTGATGAATCAGACTACCCAGTCAGTCCCTGTCAGCACTAGTCAGCTGAACACGAGCTCTTTGTGACTGATTACATTATGCTCTGTAAGAAAAACCTTTTTGTTTGTGGGGAATTTTTTCACTGTAGTTCCAGTAAATCAACTTGTGACAGTTACAAAAGCACCAACACCCTCCAGTTATTTTAATACATCCATGGGGTTAAAAGGATCAAGGTAGATCAGGATGCCTGGCGGGAAATACTGAACAGTCTTTTTTCTACCTCTGTCAAGTTACAATCGGCCTCATTGTTACGGAGAAAAGAGTAAAAGAGTGAATGAATGGGGGGAAGGGTGTGTGAGCGCTGGAGCAGACCATGGGCAGACTGTGACTCTTACGAGACTGAAACTCACCAGAACAAAAGAAAATCACCAGATTTTTCAAAAATGTTGAAAAAAATTCCGCTACAATTTTCGATACAGAACACTTTTGATTACATGTATTACAATTTGATACGATATTTCAAATCAAATCTATTCGATACGGTTCAGTAAAAAACAAAGACTAAATGACGGCTGTGACACTAATAGTCTTTTGTCTTTTTTAAACCATTAAGTCCGTGCAAAGTTAATATGAAAAACGCACATTTTACTCAAAACTATAAACTGTGTCGCATAAACAGGTTTCCTTTCTCCAAACAAGCAACACACTGAAGCTTACACAAAATAATTTAGTAAAATAAACAAAACAAAAAATAATACTGTTGGCGATATATCGATACAGCAGCCCACGATATCCATACTGTATCATCACATTAAAATACAGTATATGATATATCGATATTTCAATAATTTTGCACACCACTAGTTCGTATATTGTTTGACTAAAACACACCTGAGATCATTAAATTTAAGATTTTACTGAAAATTTTACACATTTTTTTCCTGGTTTGACAGTTTTCAGGGTTTCAAATTTTACTTTCTGGTTGAAAATCATGAGATCACGCTAGAGAATTACGAAAAAAGTTACGCACTGTACTAATGTTTAAAATATTCTTTTGGGTAAATTGTGCTGACCTTTTGGACAGAATTCTGATTCATCATCATTGTGGGAGTCTTTATTTCCTGTAATTCTCAACATATTATTCATCTTTTCTTCACAAATCGCTTCTTGATCGGTTTAAAACTATCATTTATCTTTACAACAGATATAATCCAACCAAATAAAGTCAAAATTAGAGAATCGTCGCGCTTTAAACACGGCGCATTTGTGACGTCGTGCTTTCGATGGGCCGGTTGTTTACCTCGAAGGTGAGCAGCGGCACGACGATGGTCATCCAGCTGATGGCCATGGTGATGTGCGTGCGGCGCTGCTCGGCGATGATGTCGATGGAGCGAAGGAACAGCACGGACCAGATGATGTAATAGAGGACGACAAGGCACAGGAAGGACATGAGGATCCAGAGGGGGACGCACACCACCTGGACACACGGAAGAGAGCGGGATACGTCAACAAAAACCACGTGGAATTCAAATATTCTCCTTGGAATTTACATGGAAATAATAATTCTGAATCGAGGTTTACATTAAAAAAACATGTTAAATTGTCTTTATTTAATGTGTGTGAGCGTCTGGGGGTGGGGGAGGTTCTGATCGGACAGAGACACCAACGGATTTACGGCGACCGGAAAAGAAAACACACACTTCAGCTGCTGCCGGCTTTTCTGTCATCTCGGTTTTGTTCGTTCCTCCACAATCCGTGTGTCGTTCGTTCATTCGTTTTTCAATATAAAACCAAAAATGAGAAAACAAAAAAAAAAAAACTATTTTCTTCATTATTTGTCTCCAAAACCAAAATGAAAAAACAGATAACGATTAGGTTTTGCAGTTTTCAATTTTGTGTTTCAATGAAAAATGGAAAAAAATTGATAAATGGTTTCCCGTTTCCGTGACTTAAACTGTGATGCTGGACTGAACCAGGACTAAAACAGGACTAAACCGTTTTCAGTCCTGGTCTCAGTCCTGGTCTCAGTCCCGGTCTCAGTCCCGGTCTCAGTCCCGGTCTCAGTCCCGGTCTCAGTGCCGGTCTCAGTGCCGGTCTCAGTGCCGGTCTCAGTGCCGGTCTCAGTGCCGGTCTCAGTCCCGGCACTGTTGCCGGTCTCAGTCCCGGTCTCAGTCCCGGTCTCAGTCAGTCCCGGTACTGTTGCCGGTCTCAGTCCCGGTCTCAGTCCCGGTACTATTGCCGGTCTCAGTCCCGGTCTCAGTCCCGGTCTCGGTCCCGGTCTCGGTCTCGGTCCCGGTCTCGGTCCCGGTCTCGGTCTCGGTCTCAGTCTCAGATCTAGTATAGTCTGTATGCGGCGCTAAAGTCCGGCATCGCAGTTTAAGTCACGTAAACGGGAAACGGCCGATATCCCTTTTTTCCCTTTTTCATTTAAACGCAAAAATCGAAAGCTGAAAAAAATTATCGTTATCGCCGTCACCGTCTAAACGAAAGACACTTCCCATAAAATATTTTGTCATTTTTACCCACAAGCGTTCTCGTGTGAACAGACCCTAAAGGTAAAAAAAAAGGAGCTGTTCACTTGAAAACAGCTTCATGACATCACAAGGTGGAACAGAGCATTTGGAGCTTAGATGTAGACAAACTAATAATTAAGAGTTGCTCAAACATGTGAATGAAACAAAACACAACTCTGACTCCGTTTTTGACGAGGAAATGACATTAGAACACGTCTTAAAGCTCACAAGAGTCAGTTTTGTGTCATATTGGACTTTTAAATGTCGTTTTTTCTCACCAGCCAGGGCCAGTTTATGATTCTGTCGAGTCTCAGAGCGATGAAGATGAACTGGAGGATGTTCACGGAGCACAGGACCTCCAGCTGAAAACACAAGAGCAGATCAGTGTGACAATCATCAGAAGCATGATTAAAAAAACAAAAACAAATGTAAAACTGTGTTGCAAAAGAAGTTGGGAAACAAAGCACCTGGTTAAAATGACTCAGTAAGTTGCTAGGAACTTGCTTCAGTGTTATGGAGCAATGTGAAATACCAATGAAATCTATGATGAAATAAAAAATAAGAGCGTGCAATCATGCTGCATTCACATGGTGCGGGAAAACGTATCTTTTCCACTTGCAAAATGGAACGAGTATGTTGTTTTTTCTGTGTTTTTTTATTTTATTGTACTGTACTAAGTTTTACAGTTATTTTATCTCTATACTTTTTCATTTAATTGTGTTTTTATTATTTTTATTATTATTATTTTTAGATCATCCAGTGCCGTCGCTCACCCTTACACCACGAAAGCAAAAACTCTTGAGAATTTCTTTTGAAGCTGTGAATATTTGGGCACTGCTTGAGGTTTTCTCTCAAGATAAATATAAGAATAGGTACCAGAAAGTTCTATGATTTAAAGTAAAGTACAATGATTTACTATGATTTGTTTTCTGACCCGAGCGCCTGAGGGAGTGGCAGCGGGTCACAGTAAATCGCTGAGATTTTGTTTTATTATTTTATTACTTTATTTCTATGTTTTATTTTATTTTTATTACTTTATTTCTATATTTTGTTTTATTTTTATTATTTATTTCTATGTTTTGTTTTATTTTTATTATTTTATTATTTTATTTCTATGTTTTGTTTTATTTTTATTATTTTATTACTTTATTTCTGTTTTGTTTTATTTTTATTACTTTATTTCTATCACGCCGGTAAATTGGATTCAAATGCAACACAAGTAGTCAGGCAAACAGGTTATTACAAGTTATTTAAATAACAGAAGGTGTCCTATAACAGGAAATGTTATTAATGACAACTCAGACTGGAAATATAACAGGGGAATATAAGATATTAAATGTGAACAAAAATATCTTCCAAGACTGGGAATACACTAGTAAAAAAACACACTGGGAGGAAACTCAGGAACAGGGACAACAAACAGGGAAACTCAGAATTGCAGAAGTCACAAACAGATCAGATTCAGGGAACACAGGGTTTTCAGATTTGGGGTTTTCAGGAGCTTGAATGTCTGTCTTAACAGGTAGACAATCTGGCAAAAACTGAGGGAGCAGAGGGAGTATATATAGACTGGGCCTGGGCTGATTACAGAATGAGGGGCAGCTGTAGAGAAAGGAGGGAGGTGGCAAAAGGAGGACCGGAACAGACTCAGAAATGGAACTGGACTGGGGAAAAAAGTAAACAAAAAGGCAGAACTGTGACAATTTCTATCTTCTGTTTTATTTGTATTACTTTATTTCTATCTTTTGTTTTATTTTTATTATTTTATTTCTACCTTGTTTTATTTTTATTATTTTATTTTATATATTTTGTTTTATTTTATTTATATATTTTGTTTTATTTTTATTATTTTATTTATATGTTTTGTTTTATTTTTATTACTTTATTTCTATCTTCTGTTTTATTTGTATTACTTTATTTCTATCTTTTGTTTTATTTTTATTATTTTATTTATATCTTTTTTTATTTATTATTTTATTTATATATCATTTTATTTTTATTATTTTATTTATATGTTTTTTTTAATTACTTTATTTATATGTTTTGTTTTATTTTATTTTTTTTATTTCTACCTTGTTTTATTTTATTATTTTATTTATATATTTTGTTTTATTTTTATTATTTTATTTATATGTTTTATTTTTATTACTTTATATGTTTTGTTTTATTTTTTATTATTTTATTACTTTATGTTTTTGTTTTATTTTTTATTATTTTATTTATATTGTTTTATTTTTATTATTTTATTACTTTATTTCTATCTTTTGTTTTATTTTTATAATTTTATTACTTTATTTCTATCTTTTGTTTTATTTTTATTATTTTATTTCTGTTTTGTTTTATTTTTATTATTTTATTTCTATCTTTTGTTTTATTTTATTACTTTATTTCTATCTTTTTTTTAAATTTTATTATTTTATTTCTGTTTTGTTTTATTTTTATTATTTTATTACTTTATTTCTATCTTTTGTTTTATTTTTATTATTTTATTTCTATCTTCTGTTTTATTAGTATTACTTTATTTCTATCTTTTGTTTTATTTTTATTATTTTATTTCTACCTTGTTTTATTTTTATTATTTTATTTTTATTTTTTGTTTTATTTTTATTATTTTATTTATATGTTTTGTTTTATTTGTATTACTTTATATGTTTTGTTTTATTTTTATTATTTTATTACTTTATGTTTTGTTTTATTTTTATTATTTTATTTATATGTTTTGTTTTATTTTTATTATTTTATTTCTATCTTTTGTTTTATTTTATTACTTTATTTCTATCTTTTGTTTTATTTTTATTATTTTATTTCTGTTTTGTTTTATTTTTTATTATTTTATTACTTTATTTCTATCTTTTGTTTTATTTTTATTATTTTATTTCTATCTTTTGTTTTATTTTAATTACTTTATCTCTATCTTGTTTTATTTTTATTAATTTATTTATATTGTTTTTTGTTTTTTTTTTACTATGTTATTATTATTAATTTATTTCAATGTTTTGTTTTATTTTGACTTGTAGGCAAGTCAGGGCAAGTTCATTTGTAGAGCACAATTCGCACACAAACTCATTCAAAGTGGTTTACGGAACAGGAAATACATTCAAATCACAAAACAAACTCATCAAATAAATAAATATCATAAAATAAAAAAAGTTTGCGGTTTCGCGATCGTGGCGTTTGAGGTTTCGTTACCGCGACGGCGGCGGTCTCACCTCGAGAGAGCGGTCGTGCCTGAAGCCCCAGACGCAGGCGGCCACGGACACCGGCGACACGAAGAAGAGCGGCATGAAGACGAGCAGCCAGAAGTAGGAGCCCCGGGACACGCGGTCGCACACCAGCACCTCGAACATCAGCAGCAGGACGTGAAGACCCACGGCGATCAGCATGGCCTTAAACTCCACGCACGTCTCACCCTCCGCCCTGCACAGAGAAACGAGGGAGGAGAAACGAGGGAGGAGAGACGAGGGAGGAGAGACGAGGGAGGAGAGACGAGGGAGGAGAGACGAGGGAGGAGAGACGAGGGAGGAGAGACGAGGGAGGAGAGACGAGGGAGAGTAAGAGGCAGGGAGGGTGAGAGAAAGGAGGAAGAGAAACAAGGGAGAGAGGAGGGAAGAGGAGAGACACAGAGAGAGGGGGAGGTAAGAGAAGGAGGCAGGGAGAGAAACGACAGAGAGAGAGAGGGAGAAAGAGGGGGAAAGAAATGAGGGAACGAAGAGAGAAATGAGTGAGAGGAGAGGAGAGAGGGAAAGAGAGGAGAGAGACGCAGGGAGGGTGAGAGGAGAGAGGGAGAGAGGAAGAGAAACGAGGGAGAGAGAGAGGGGTGAGAGTGAGAGAGAGAGGGGGAGAGAGAGGGGTGAGAGTGAGAGAGAGAGAAAGAGGGGGATAGAGAGGCAGGGAGTGGGAGAGAAATGAGGGAGAGAAACAAGAGAGCGAGGGAGAAGAGGCACAAAGAGAGGAAGATGGGGAGAGGAGAGACAGAGAGAGGGAGAGAGGAGAGAGAGAGAAACAAGGGAGAGGGGAAGAGAGGAGAGACAGAGAGAGGGAGAGACGAGAGAGAGAGAACAAAGAGAGGTGGAGAGGAGAGACAGAGAGAGGGAGAGGGACGAGAGAGAGAGAACAAAGAGAGGCGGAGAGGAGAGACAGAGAGAGGGGGAGGTGAGGGAGAAGCAGGGAGAGAAACGAGGGAGAAAGAGGTGAAGAGAGAGAGGGTGAGAGAAATGAGGGAGAGAAACAAGAGAGAGGGAGAGGGGAAGAGAGGAGAGACAGAGAGAGGGAGAGGGGGAGAGACGAGAGAGAGAGAACCGAGAGAGAGGCGGAGAGGAGAGACGCAGAGAGAGGGGGAGGTGAGAGAGAAGCAGGGAGAGAAACGAGGGAGAAAGAGAGAAAGAGGTGAAGAGAGAGAGGGTGAGAGAAATGAGAGAGAGAAACAAGAGAGAGGGAGAGAGAGAGAGAAACAAGGGAGAGGGGAAGAGAGGAGAGAGAAACAAGGGAGAGGGAGAGAGGAGAGAGAGAGAGGAGAGAGGGGGAGAGGGGAGAGCGGAGGAGAGTCACAGAGAGAGGCAGTTAGAGGGAGAGAGGGAAATAATTTTTATTCAGAATTAAATTATTTTTAATTCGGAATGAAGGCTGTACCACGTGGTGAAGTTTCTTGAGTGCATCACATGGGCATATGTGACGGAGTCGCTCCGTCCGAGCACGCGCTTACTTAAGCACGCCCGAACAAGCCCGCGTCAACTACCCACCTGTTTTCATTCATTCCGCACCGTACCCCGCTCTGTTGCTCACTCCTCGTCTATCCACTCCGGTCCCCGCTAAATATTTTCCGTCCGCTCACCACCGCAGTAGCCTTGGGTGCACACAAGTCCGCTGCCAAATCCTTCACCTCCATAACTTCGTCTTCCATCTACCTTTCCGCATTATCCATCCCCTGTCCTCACGCCCCACTGGCAAACAGAGCACTGATCTGACACCTCCTTTTTCCGGTTTCGTGCGCGGGATCTCCGCATGTGACGTCACTGCGACGTCATCACAAGAAAAAACACAGTTAATCATAAAATATTAATTTCTAATTCCCTATTGCTGCTACAGGCGCAGAGATAGGGCCATTTAATTTACTGTATTTTTCTGGGTTTTACATAATTTTGTTGTTATCAGTAATTTGGGTTTTAAGGGGGAAAACCCACATTTCTTGGTTAATTGGCTTGGGGGAGGAGTCATGGGGGATAAAAGAGGGCCACTCTCCCTCCCTCAGTCAGTTCCAACCTGGACCTGGAAGAGGAAGGTAAGATAACAGAAATTTAAGCAGACTTTTGCTGGTGTATTTGTATATATTGTAAATACTTTTTCTTGTTTCACTTTTTGTTGTATAGCACTCTTCAAACTTTCTTTATTTGGGAACACTAATTAAACACTCAAAAAACATCCTTCTGACTACGCCATCATTATTACAATAAGATAGAACCCCGTCACAGCATATTAAACACTGAATTTATATATTTGTTTGACTATTACACATTGAGTTGTTTAACCACTGAAATCTTACGTATGTTTAAAGGTACCACTGTGTGAAACATGTTTGCTTTTAAGGTAATCTTTTGCAGATATAGGTCCTTTTAAGGAATTTCATTGTAAAGCAGCAGCAGTGGAGATGGTTCGGCCTGGTGTGAAACTAAACAAACGGGTGATTTACATTGGGCTGCTGTCAACTCCCTAAACCTAAAGGAACGCAGAGATACTCCAAGGAAGATTCAAGGCGTTACCTGTTCAACATATTATTTGCATGTTCATATGGATGTCTATAAAATCTGATTTGAGGTATTCAGAGGCCTGATTTAAGACCTGTGTAGCCGTAGGCGGTCAGGGGTAACGATCTGACCCAGAGCTCTGTACTAGAATTGTATTGTTTAGGGAATAAATTCTTTTTGATTTTAATCGATCGATTCCAGTGGTTATTTTTAAGAGAACACGCTTAATGGATTTTGAAGATACCTAACAGGAAATAAAAGCTCTCATGTAAACGTGGCGATTGACATTTAAAACCACTTCAGGTTTCATGTTTTTGAGGAACAACGTTACAACATCTCGAGGTAGAAACGTGGTAGAAAGCTCCAAAAAGTTGCTTCCTGCTGAACATCTTTAACTCTGTCGTGGATATTGGTGTTGGTGTTGGTGTTGAGCCGTTTTGCCTCACCTGTACTGAGGGTTGTGCGCCCACACTCCGGTGCCCACGGACGCCCCGATGATCACCATGAGCTTCCAGAGCCAGATGGGAGCGAACACGGCCCAGTAACTCCACTGGATGAGTCCGTCCAGCCTCAGCGCCAACAGCACCGAGAAGAGCAGCAGGCAGCAGTAGATCAGGAACTTACTGAGGAAACACACACAGACACGAGGAGATGTCAGACACTGTTCTTCTCTCAGGTGAGGGCGACACACTTGGAGTTGGGATGGTTGGTATTAGGGCTGGGTATCATTAAGAAGTTGCCGATACGATACATACCTCGACCCTACATAGGCAACGATACATTAGAGACCGACCGATATGGATTTTGTTGTGGCCGATATGAAACCGACATAATGGGAGTTGGAGCTGCCGATATATTTAGTGAGGTAAAAATTCACTGTAAATGTTGAATTGTTTAAAAAACTTAGGTTTGGCTCTGGTGGATTTTAAATTGGGTTTATTTAGGCAACATTTATTGTTATTCTGCCTCTTTACATCATATTTACAGACGGTAGGTTGGCTTTATGGCATTTTTGCATCACATTCTAGACACTAGTGATGAGTATTCCAATTCTTTTTAGAGAACCAGATCTTTTGGCTAAAATGCTGCTGGTTCTTTTGGCTCCCAAGCAACTCTTGTTGAGATAGTTTTGTTGCAAGCAGGTCTAAAGCACGTCTAAAGCAGGACTGAATCAGGACTGAACCAGGACTAAAACAGATCTAGACCACATGTAAAACAGGACTAAACCAAAACTGAACCAGGACTGAGTGTCGGGACTCGGTCTCTATCTCGTGCCCAAGATTAGTCCTGGTTTATTTATTTTATGCTGAACTACAGCCAAATATGCACGTTTTTTTTAAATCCTATGTACACGCAAATTTCTCAAAGTTTCGTTTTCAGCCGCTGCTGCTGTGAAACTACCACGAGTCTGCACGCGGCGTGAAGAGAAAAAAAGTGAGAGAAAGAGAAAACATGGCTAGCGATGTGGTTTTAAGTTTTGTTTCTGTGAGAGTTGAACAACTAACACATTATAATGTCAAACAGCTGATGTGGCTCTAGAGTCATTACGGTTTATATGTCGTAAAGTTTATTTATGCAGATTAGTGCAGATAGTAATAATAATGATGATCATTTTAATATAAAAACGTTAATGATTAATCGATAATCGATCGTTAATTCTTCCGACGATCGATTAAGAAAATTTCACCAAATGCCCATCTCTAACTAGAACCATGCTGATTGCTCATTCTCAATGATACCAGCCCTACCTTCTACTGTGGCTCAGCAGGCTTGTGTTAAAAGGACAATAATTCATTTGTTGTGGGTTTATCCACTTTAATGCACTTAAGTTTTTTTTGGAATTGTTGTTTTGTTTGAAGGTCCAGTCTAATATGAATGAAAAACTGACTGAAAAGGCTACCGGAATATTTAAAGAATATTAATTAAACATTTACTTTCTTTTAAAAACATGTCTGAAAATTTATTCTAGACTGTTTATGCAATATTAAAACTTAACCACAATTGATATTCGGTTTTGGTTTCGGCCAAGAGTTAAATTTTTATTTGGTTTCGGCCACAAATTTTCATTTCAGTGCTTCCCTAATATTTTAGCTAAACAAATGACAATATATTTCCTTCTTTACTGTTGGCAGGGATCAAACTGGTCAGAAATCGAGACACGTGGGATATTTCTTGAATAAACAAATCAGTGGGTTTTTTTTTTGTAAATCTGCTGGGACAGGGGGACACAGGGTCAAAACTGGAACTGTCCCGAGTAAAAAGCGACATCTGATCACCCTAATTTACCCAGATTTTTTTTTTTTTCCTCGGTAATTCCACTCATTGCCGGAAACTAAACCAGGTCTAAACCAGGACTAAAACCAGGACTAAAACCAGGACTAAAACCAGGACTAAAACCAGGTCTAAACTAGATCTAAACCAGGACTAAACCAGGTCTAAAACCAGGACTAAAACCAGGTCTAAACCAGGACTAAACTAGATCTAAACCAGGTCTAAACCAGGACTAAACCAGGTCTAAACCAGGTCTAAACCAGGTCTAAACTAGATCTAAACCAGGACTAAACTGGATCGTGTCTCCTCGTCTTCTATCAATAATAAAGGAAACTCTGGGCTTTTTATAATTTTTTTTAATCAGACAAAACATCTTATGTTTCGATTTCCTCGCCTTTGTTTCTCTACAGCACAGGTGTCAAACATACGGCCCGGGGGCCAGATCTGGCCCTCCAAGACCTTTAATCTGGCCCTTGGCTGATTTTCTACAAAAATAATTTAATTATATTTTCTATTAAAATCTTGTTAATTTTCTGTGGTGTTTATCACAGCAGCGTCTCCAGCGTCTCTGTACGTGGCCCCTCCCACCAGAGCAGCACAAATGAAGACTTGTCTCTTTCCAAACGCTCTTAAAGGACGATCGTTTTGACTGTTGACCGTGACACCCTCATCAGAAAAATGTCCAACATGAGAAAAGACCAGGACTGAGTCAGGGACCAAGACTGAGACCGGGATCAGACAAGAACTGAGACCAGGATTGAGACCGGGAACAGGACCAGAACTGAGACCGGGACCAGACCAGGACTGAAAACGGTTTAGTCCTGGTTCAGTCCTGGTTTAGTCCGTATGCGGCAGAATATTCCCGCATCACATTTTAAAGTCACGGAAACGCCATTTCCCATTTCTGTGACTTAAACCAGGACTAAACCAGGACTAAACTGTTTTCAGTCCCGGTCTGGCCCCGGCCTCAGTCCTGGTCTGGTCCTGGTCTCAATCCTGGCCTTTCTGGTTTGGTTCCGGACCTGATTTAGTCCTTGTTCATTCGAATGAACAAATGATACACAGATTCTTCTCCTTTACAAAATGCTCCAAATTCTCCATTCTCCACGAGCAGCCGATATTCTCATAATATTACCACTTTATTTTGACTACGACTTTATTCTCAATAAATTACTACTTTATTCCTGTAAAATTATAACTTTATTCTCGTAAAATTACAACTTTTTCTGGCTTCGACTTTATTCTCATAATATTACGACTTTAATGTCGAAATGTTACGACTTTATTCTCGCAGCGCCAGCATCTTTTATTTTTTTCATCTGACCCTTATACTCCGTCATATAAACAAACTGTCAAGCTTCAAGAAATGTTAAAACTTGTATTTGTTGATGAGATTCTTGGCCTCTTAACTCACATCTGTAGCATTAGCAGCTTCATTTGGCCACTTTCTACAATCCATTTTCGTTTTATTCGGGATAGTTATTTCACAATACCACAACAAGCCAAAATAAAACAGTTATTTGTGTTTAATTTTGTTTCACGTTGATGTATTTGTGACTCAAAAACGATAAAACTACAAAGTGGAACGGATCGGGCAGAGTGGCTAGCGCGCGGCTAACGTTACCTGGGGTTGAAGTCCTGAAAAAGTCCTCGTAAATTCATGGCGGAAGCGGTCGATTCTAGCCCACAGACATCGGTTTAACGGGTTTGGGCTCCGGGGTGGAGGTTGTGCGCCGGATCTGAGGGTTTGTCGCGGTTTAACTCCGGTTTTTTCGGCGGTTTCATGTCGGAGCCGCGCTGGTGCTAAAGCTGCTAACGACGCTAACGACGCTAACTAGTTTGTTTTGCTTCGGCGTCGGAAGTGACGAAGGACCGGAAATAAAAATAGGTAAATAAATAAATAAGCTAAAAGCCATATTTATTTTTTAAATTAGTATTATTGAAGTGTCAACATCATTTTACATTTTAACAATATTATTATTATTTTTTCTGCCCCCGTCTGTATTAAATAATATTGGTCTATAGAATATTGTGACGTCATCTGAAACCAACTAAGACCAGGTCTAAACCAGGTACTAGACCAGGTACGAGACCGGGACTAAACCAAGTACTAGACCAGGTCTAAACCAGGTACTAGACCAGGTACTAGACCAGGACTAAACCAGGTACTAAGCCGGGACTAAACCGGGACTAAACCAGGACTAAACCAGGACTAAACAAGGGCTTAACCAGGACTAAACCAGGTACTAGACCAGGACTAAACCAGGTACTAGACCAGGACTAGACCAGGTACTAGACCGAGACTAAACCAGGACTAAACCAGGTACTAAACCAGGACTAAACCAGGTACTAAACCAGGACTAAACAATGTCTCCAAAGTTTTTGTTTTATCCAGACAAAAGTATAATAGGTTGGGCAAAATGGACCTTTCTTCGTCAGTTCCTGTTCTCTGTCTTTTTGCTTTATGAGACAAAAATAAGTTTTCGTGCAAAGACAAAAGAAACTGACGTGATCTTTATAATTTGGTTGATTTTCTCCAGACTTCCATCCATTATGAGAAAAACACGTCACCGAGCTCGAGTCGTCATGGAGTTGGTCTGAAATGATGCAGAATAAGAGCTTTGGATTTCCTGTTTAGTTCTGACTAGGATCATGTGGCGACTCTTAACCACTTAAACAGTTTAGTACAGAATGAATAAATACACAAAATACTTTCACTTTAAAGAGAATAAAAGTATAAAAGTAAAATTAAAAGTATAATTGAATACAAAGGCTGATGAAGCCAACAGGACGACATCATCTGTAAACAGCAGGGATCTCAGATGATGTTTTATTTTATTTTACTAGACCAGGACTAAACCAGGACTAAACCAGGACTAAACCAGGACTAAACCAGGTACTAAACCAGGACTAAACCAGGACTAAACCAGGTACTAAACCAGGTACTAAACCAGGACTAAACCAGGACTAAACCAGGTACTAAACCAGGACTAAACCAGGTACTAGACCAGATACTAGACCAGGACCAAACCAGGTCCTAGACCAGGACTAAACATTGGTACAAGACCAGGACTCAACCAGGACTAAATCAGGTACTAAACCAGGTCCTAGACCAGGACTAGATGAGGTACTAGACCAGGACTACACCAGGTACTAAACCAGGACTAAATCAGGTACTAGACTGGGACTAAACCAGGTCTAAACCAGGTACTAAACCAGGTACTAAACCAGGTCTAAACCAGGTACTAAACCAGGACTAAACCAGGTATTAGACCAGGACTAAACCAGGACTGAACCAGGACTAAACCAGGACTAAACCAGGTCTAAACCAGGACTAAACGGCCCTAAAAGAAGGAGGCGAGACGTTGGATTTGAAAATAAAATTAAAAACAAAACATAAACAGTTTGTGCCTTTTGTCTTTACACGACTCTTTATTTTTGTCTCATGATACAAAAACAGAAAAAAGGACCTGACAAAAAAAAAGGGTCAAAGGGACATTTTGAGCTCAGTATTTGTCACGATGTTTATGAACATGAACATTAACTAAACCTGGTGTCACTTTGTTATTTCCTTTGTCGGGCAGAAGAGTCATGACCAACACAATAAACAAGTATTTACAGGAAAAGTCTCATCATTTAGAGCTGATGTCTGATTAAACCAAGACTAAACCAGGACTAAACAAAGACTAAACCAGGACTAAACCAGGACTAAACCAGGACTAAACCAGGACTAAACGGCCCTAAAAGAAGGAGGCGAGACGTTGGATTTGAAAATAAAATTAAAAACAAAACATAAACAGTTTGTGCCTTTTGTCTTTACACGACTCTTTATTTTTGTCTCATGATACAAAAGCAGAAAAAAGGACCTGACAAAAAAAAAGGGTCAAAGGGACATTTTGAGCTCAGTATTTGTCACGATGTTTATGAACATGAACATTAACTGACTAAACCTAGTGTCACTTTGTTATTTCCTTTGTCGGGCAGAAGAGTCATGACCAACACAATAAACAAGTATTTACAGGAAAAGTCTCATCATTTAGAGACTGAGACTCTGACTTAAGACTAAAAAGACTAAACCAGGACTACAAAGACTAAACCAGACTAAACCAAGACTAAACCAGGACTAAACCAAGACTAAACCAAGACTAAACCAGGACTAAGACTAAAAAGACTGACTAAACCAGACTAAAACAAGACTAAACAAAGACTAAACCAGACTAAACTAAAAGACTAAACCAGGACTAAACCAAGACTAAGACTAAACCAGGACTAAACCAAGACTAAACCAAGACTAAACCAGGACTAAACCAAGACTAAACCAAGACTAAACCAGGACTAAACCAAGACTAAACCAAGACTAAACCAGGACTAAACCAGGACTAAACCAAGACTAAACCAAGACTAAACAAAGACTAAACCAAGACTAAACAAAGACTAAACCAAGACTAAACAAGACTAAACCAAGACCAAAGACTAAACCAGGACTAAACCAAGACTAAACCAGGACTAAACCAAGACTAAACCAAGACTAAACCAGGACTAAACCAAGACTAAACCAAGACTAAACCAAGACTAAACAAAGACTAAACCAGGACTAAACAAAGACTAAACCAAGACTAAACCAAGACTAAACCAAGACTAAACCAAGACTAAACCAAGACTAAACAAGACTAAACCAGGACTAAACCAAGACTAAACCAAGACTAAACCAGACTAAACCAGACTAAACCAAGACTAAACCAAGACTAAACCAGACTAAAAGACTAAACCAGGACTAAACCAGGACTAAACCAAGACTAAACCAAGACTAAACCAAGACTAAACCAAGACTAAACCAGGACTAAACCAGGACTAAAACAAGACTAAACCAAGACTAAACCAAGACTAAACCAGGACTAAACCAGGACTAAACCAAGACTAAACCAGGACTAAACCAAGACTAAACTAGGTACTAAACCAGGACTAAACCAGATACTAGACCAGGACTAAACCAAGACTAAACCAGGACTAAACCAAGACTAAACCAAGACTAAATCAAGACTAAACCAGGACTAAACCAAGACTAAACCAAGACTAAACCAGGACTAAACCAGGACTAAACCATTTCTAAAAACATAAACTTAAGTAACAATGTGATAAATAAAACAAGATTTCAAATGTTTTAATGTCAACACTTTTTTATTGAACAAAAAGCTTTAAATCAATTCATGAATATTTTTTAGGTCCAACTTGAACTCTGAACTGTTTGTTTTTGCTTTAACACAGCAAAATGTGAAATGTTAAGAAGTTTAACAATCAGAAAGGTGTAATAACTAAATAAATAGTACAAAAATTAACGTTAAAACAAAAAATTCACCTTTATCTTAAATCTTAACATTCTTAACTTAAAAATATCTTTATCTGTATTTTTCAACAATTGTTTCAATATTTAACAGTAAGTACAGCCAAAAGTCAAAAGTTTGGACACACCTTCAATATATATACATTTTTTATGACTTTCTACATTTTAAATCCACATAAGACGTCACATAAACTTAAAATTTTTAGAATCAAGAAATTCCAAAAATACAAAGCAGTGATCAAAAGAAAGGGTACGTTGTTTTTTTTAAATCTGAATCATGTTTGGAATTATTTTGAGTTTATTTTTTAGTCATGCGTCATTCAGAGTTTTGATTAATTCAGTGAGAATCTAAATAAACATGGAAATAAAGAAGAAAATGTCCAGACTGTTGACTTCTCAATTCATTTTACAATTCTTTCTTCGAATTTTGTTTGCCGCCTTATAAACGAACGCAAAAACTGTACGATATAACTTATACGTTTGAAATAAAAACATGTAAATATTAAAATACGGACCAGAACGGAACAAAAACAAATAATATTCAACATTTGACAGTCACAATGTGCTTCTGATGTAACTTGTGAATATTTAATTTCTCAAAAATACAGATTATTTGCACATTTCCGTGATACCCGAGTTGTTTTTAAAGTTTGTTGTTATAAAGTCGTAGCTGCAGATTCATTAATAAAATACATTCAACATTCAGCAGCAGAAATAAGAATAAATAAATAAATACGACAGTCGGTAAAAAACGTGTCACGAGGAGGATTGATTTTAAAGTGCACATTTTTATCTTTTAACTTTACATTTATTTCGTTCCAAACTGTAAAAAGTGTAAATACAGTGTAGTACAAGCGATAGTGCATTGAACTTGAAAATTCTGCTCCAGAGGTATTTATGCGTAGGTATTTATTGACTAAACACAAACAAACATATAAAAAGTACTAAAGTATTAAATATTTTAAAGGGAAACCAGCCCCTACAGCCCAGCGTCCACTGCACGACTTGGTCTGCATTTCGGATCGTGGGAAAATCTTGACTTGCAAAATCAAAAATCAAACTCAACAGCAGCAGAAGAGACGAGAAGAGTTTTACTTCTCCTCGTTTCAGTTTCACAGACTTTTTTTTTTAAACGCACAGACTCTGTTGCCGAGTGGCTTCAGCTTCAGTGAAACTAGAGACGTGACCACACAGAGTCTGAAATTCAGACAGAACGAGACTAGACCAGGTACTAGACCAGGTACCAGACCAGGTACTAGACCAGGTACTAGACCAGGTACTAGACCAGGTACTAGACCAGTACTAGACCAGTACTAGACCGGGACGAGCCCGAGACCAGACCAGAAAACCCACCGCACGCACCAAACCTGCAATCTTTGCTTTATAAATCCCACCTGCAACTAGAATTTGCGCAAGTAAACCCACGTCACGTCACGCCCTCTCCACACCTCCACCTCACCATAAAAGGGACAGACCGCACCCCCTCACACCTCCACCTCACCATAAAAGGACAGACCGCGCCCCCTCACACCTCCACCTCACCATAAAAGGACAGACCGCGCCCCCTCACACCTCCACCTCACCATAAAAGGACAGACCGCGCCCCCTCACACCTCCACCTCACCATAAAAGGACAGACCGCGCCCCCTCACACCTCCATCTCACCATAAAAGGAGCGTGGAAAGTGACTCATGAATGTGATTTCCCCTTAACATGAGTCGATAATCAGTGGGTTTGACCGAGACATACTGAGTATCGCTTTTTCCCCCCCCGTGTCTTCAGACTTTGCATAGAGCTTACAGGAAGTCCCGAGTTGGCGTAGAGTTAAGCAAAGCACCACGCTTTAGCTGAGTTTCATAAATACCGTGGTTGGCGCGTACGCAAGGATTTTTGCATCAGCGAGTTTTATAAATGAGGCCCCAGGATTCTTTGGTCTTTCCACGTCTGACCTTGTGCATCTGCGTCTTTGGTTTTAAACTCCTCACGCCGCAGATTTGGCAACAATCTGATCTCATTAAATCGTGCAGTGGACCGACGTGTCACGATAATAATCACGATATCGCCTCATCACTCAGAACATGAAAACATGTACCACAGTGATACTTTTTCTCATAGTCAAATTTGAGCTGCAGCTTTTACGGCTTGGTTCGTTTTGTTTAGTTTTCCTTTTTTTTCATGCTTATTTCTCCAGAGCAGAGTAATGTGCTTCTAAATGTTACGGCGAAACAAAAATGTCCAGAGTTTAAAATGAAGAAAGTCCAAACGTCATCCACCTTTTCTCGATTCATTCATCGAGTCGTCTACTGGAAGTTCGGTTTTCAGGAGGTTTTGTCCTTCCGGCCTGTCCTCAGACCGATCTGTGCTTTCAGGCTGATATTCGACGTCTCGCTTTTGTCGTTTGCAGATTCTTTTTTTCATAACGACAAAAACAACAACAGCAACAACACCGATAACAAGAACGAATGAGATGATGATCGCTAGACGAGATCTGACGGACGTTGGAAAGGGGTCGATATTGTCTAGTTCAGGTTTCGTCTCGTTTTCCGTGTCGTTTAGAAACACTTCTTCCGGCGAACGGACGATGAGCGTGACGAAGGCCTCCCTGCGCAGATTCGGGACGAAGCACTTGTACGTCCCGTTGTCCGACAGCGCGACTCTCCGGATCCTCAGCGACGCGACGCCTTCCCGGAACTGCTCGGGGAAAAGCTGCGTCCGGTTTACAAACTCCGGGATTTTCATGTCGGTGTCCTCGTGCCATTCCGTGTAGACGTGGACGAACGGCACGATCTTGAGCGGGTCGGACGGGTGCGGCTTGAGCTCGGTGCGGGACCACTCCACCGTCAGCGGGGCCAGGTTGAGGGGCGGGTCGCAGCGGCAAGGGAGGACGACGTCATCGCCCGTCGACGCCAGCACGGGCTGCGGCTCACCGATCAAACGAGTCTGAGCTGAAACAGAAGAGACGACAGGAGGAATGAGGACGGGAGTGAAAGAACGAAAACTCTGCACAACGGGAACGGTGTTAATCCACGTGTCATACGTTTTTCAAAATAAAATAAAAAATAAGAAAACGAAAAAACAAACAACTATTTTCTTCACTATTTGTCTCCAAAAACAAAATGAAAAAACAGAATGATTTGTTTTTTCAGTTTTTCGATTTTGTGTTTAAATGAAAAATGGAAAAAAAAAAAACAGATAACAGTGCGTCTCAACGACAGGTGCGTCTCAACGACAGGTGCGTCTCAACGACAGGTGCGTCTCAACGACAGGTGCGTCTCAACGACAGGTGCGACTCTGTGACAGGTGCGACTCAACGACAGGTGCGACTCAACGACAGGTGCGACTCAACGACAGGTGCGACTCAACGACAGGTGCGACTCAACGACAGGTGCGACTCAACGACAGGTGCGACTCAACGACAGGTGCGACTCAGGGTTTGGTAAACACAAGTTTCCAGAAACAATAAGAATTATTAAAGAAAAACTGATTTTTCAGCTCAAATTTAAGGCCACAGACGCTAAACTCCAGAGACTTGGTGAACCCAGTAAACATCAAGAGAATTTCATGAAATTTGTCACAGAACTTTACTTCGGCAACACTGATACTAGGTACAGACTGATTTACAAAAAGCTGAGCAACTGATGCGCCCTAACGCACAGTGTATGAGTCAATCCTGTCGTCTAGTCGTCTGGTTATTGCAGACATGTGCGTAATCTGTGTGTTTTTACTGACACCCTTTAGAATAACTTATGCACTGTTAAGATCTTAACGGTTTAATCTGTTCTCAGAATAAAACATTATGTTATGTAAGAGCAGGGAGGTTCAGGTGTGTCTCGATTTGCATCGGCAGTTTGCTTTAGCCCCATTTGCAATTCAAAACCCGATATTTCAATGGCAAATGAAGTACAGCAAAAGCTCCCTCTGAAAACTTCACGTTTTGTTGTGCACTGTCTCTGTACAAATAAAAAAAAAACATATTTTATTTTGTTTATTGCCCCAGTTTTTCTCCGTTGCACTGTGATAAAAGTAGAAATAACTGCTTAGATGTTTCACGCTGTTAAAAAAAAAGTCTCATTACAGTTTAAATCAAACTCATTTAAGATGAATTAAAAACATTAAATTTCAGATTCCTGTTAGATTCCGCAACATTTTAATAACTTTTTCCCCATTCCAAGAGCCTGATTATTTTGTTTTAAATTGTTAATCTAGGGCAGGGAGCTCCTTTTCCAAACAGAAATGCCAAGAGAGCGACTCACTTTAGTGATCACAAGAAAATTTGTAAATATAATATTAGATGGGCTACAGTTTGATGACTCAAACATTTACTATCAACTATTGTCCATTTATTAGTGCACAAAGATACTCATCACATTTACAGTGCTAATAGGAGACTCATTAAATCAATATTTGGTGAGTCAACAGTATTTTACTCAGAAATACTTTGGAAGGAAGTGGAGAGATACTTGGAAGAGGGTTTGTTCCTTGGAATTTTGGTGGTCGGTGATAATAAAAGAAAAATTAAGGAAAATCATTATGCACCAGAACATTTTCTTGGAGTTTTGGTCATTTTAAGAAGCTTTTCTGTAATTTTAACAAAACAAATTACAATATACGTCTCTGTTAACTGTAAAATTGGTCAAAAATAGGAACACTCTGGACATTTCTTGAATAAAACTCAGACAAATCAGTGGTTGTGGTTTCCCTGTGACTGTTAATCGCTCTTGTCTTAATGTTTCATCATTCTGAAGCTTTAGTTTAATTCAAAAGCTGAAACTATGAGGAAAGGAAAAGGAAAAGGGTGTGGGACAGCCCCTGGGAGATGAGAAGAAACAAATGAGAAAGATAAACTCACGTGTCTACAGGGAAATCATCTGAAGTTAAGCCAATTAGTTTAATTTACAAATCTTGGATCTAAGGACAGTCTGGTTTTGAGTCTGCGTCCCCTGTCCCAGCAGATTTATACAAAAACAGCAATTTGTCCCAATTTTATACAAGAAATGTCCTTATTTTTTCTCATTTGTTTGGGTAAAATACAAAAAATCTGCTTAAAAACGACCCAAACGAAAAAAAACGTGACTATACTGACTCACATATTAGTCATAAATGGGCCGAGCTCAGAACTATTTTCCTTCATCACAATTTTATTTTTTAACAAACACCTCAAACCGGGGGAAGGTCCCAGTTTGTAATTGGGGAAATCCGATCACCCTAAATTAAATCATGACCCAATTTTTTGATAGACGTGAAGGGTGACACGTGGGTGACACTCATTTTGACACTTTCTCACGATAAACGTAATAATTCACTCAGTTTAAGTTGTTAAAACACAACTTAACATAAAATAAACATTAAAATCATTTGGTTCGTAGATTAAGAATCGACAGTGCGCACGGTGAGTTTTGGAGACAGTTTTCTTAGCGTTCGCGTTCGTTACGAGAACAGATCGAAGTTTGATCAGATAAAATGAGTAAAAAGTAAATGTTTTCCGCTCTTACCTCGGACCAAAGGGCTCAGACAAACGGACACGATCCACAAACAGAGAATGAATGACGCGGACATGTTCCTCGCAGACGTGGAAGAGCGTGGAGCTGTTCTCTCTGTGCGCTCTGAGAGACGAGTGGCACTTACGCACTGACGTACTACGTTAATATTGGTGAGTCATGTGACGTTGACGTCACGGAAAGATGGGGCGTGATGCAACTCTCGGCTGAAAAAAAAAAAAAAAAAAAAAAAACACGCGTTCGCCATGGTAACCACCAAATACAGCTCTAAAATCTTCCAAAACAAGTGGAAAAACACACACACACAAAAAAAACAAAAACAGTATACCGTGGAAAAGCATGGCACGACTGAGGGACATGCTGAAATAAGATAATTTACCATGTAAAAATATTTAAAACTATCGAGCGATGTTAGACTTACGGCAAACCGAAAAAAAAAAAAAAAAAATAAATCAAAGCCTTTTTTTTTTTTTTTGTTGCCTTTTTCGCCTTTTATATTATAGTATACAATAACAAAGAGTAAAAAAATAAAATAAAAATTGTAATAAACTTCTAATATTACTACTACTACTACTACTACTACTAACTACTAATAAAAAAAAATAAATAAATAAATAAAATAATAATAATACATCTGACTTATATAGCTCTTTTTTGGACTCTCCAAGACACTTTACAAACAAATAAAAACTGACACTGTAATAAGTATTAATAAAAAATAACAAGAGCCTGGTATCATTAAGATAGAAATGTATGTACAGACAGTGTTGGGGAGTAACAGATTACATGTACCGGAGTTAAGTAATCAGAGTACAAATGATGAGTAACTGTATTCAGTTACAGTTACTGTTTCAGTGAGTGGGAATTGGATTACAGTTACTTTGTTGAAATAAATGGATTACACAGAGGGATTTTACTGTTTTCACATTTCGGGCTAAATCCCCAGGTCTAAACTAGATGTAACTAGATCTAAACCAGGTCTTAAACCAGGTCTAAACTAGATCTAAACCAGGTCTAAACCAGGTCTAAACCAGGTCTAAACCAGGTCTAAACCAGGACTAAACCAGGACTAAACCAGGTCTAAACCAGGTCTAAACCAGGTCTAAACCAGGACTAAACCAGGACTAAACCAGGACTAAAACAGGACTAAAACAGGACTAAACCAGGACTAAACCAGGTCTAAACCAGGTCTAAACCAGGTCTAAACCAGGACTAAACTAGATCTAAACCAGGTCTAAACCAGGACTAAACCAAGACTAAACCAGCACGAAACCAGGACTAAACCAGGACTAAACCAGGTCTTAAACCAGGTCTAAACTAGATCTAAACTAGATTTAAACCAGATCTAAACCAGGACTAACTAGATCTAAACCAGGTCTAAACCAGGTCTAAACCAGGTCTAAACCAGGACTAAACCAGATCTAAACCAGATCTAAACTAGGACTAATCCAGGTCTAAAATCAGGTCTAAACTAGATCTAAACCAGGTCTAAACCAGGTCTAAAACCAGGTCTAAACTAGATCTAAACCAGGTCTAAAACCAGGTCTAAACTAGATCTAAACCAGGTCTAAAACCAGGTCTAAACTAGATCTAAACCAGGACTAAACCAGGACTACACCATGCTATCAATAATATTTTTTATTTGGTTCAGTAAAGTCTGGGCTTTTTATTTTCTTTTATCAGATAAAACATCTTAAGTGAAGATTTCCTCGTCTTTGTTTCTCTACAGCAAATCAAGTAATCCAAAGTAATCAGATTACATTACTCACTTTAAGTCATTTAATGGATTACGTTACAAACTACATTTTGGTGTGTGTAATCTGTAATCTGTAGGGGATTACATTTTAAAAGTAAACTTCCCCAACACTGTGTACAGTAAGTAAAAAACTAATATCGTAACATAATATATCACAGTTAAATACAAGATGATAATTACAAACATCATTTGTTTTTCCTGTCTGTAAAATGTCTGTAAAAACTCCACCGAATTTTACATACTGGAATTTTGCAACCTCAGCTCCTCGGGCAGTTCCCCCGAGACTGTTTAGAGCTATTTCCTTAAAAACAGGTAACCCAAGTTTACTCACATGTCTTAACCCGTGTGAATGTTCACAAAAAGTACAGATGTGCCGATTTCAATTTCACAGACGTCTCGAAGGCGAAACCGACCTGTTGAGAATAAAACCCAACACTACTGTTTTCCCGGACGCTGTGTATAGAAAAGTAGAGTCTGTGGTGTTTCTGGATCACCAGGACCCTCCTCTTGGGATCCTCACACAGATCCTGTCATCATCAGAGCTTTTCCCACAAAAAAACAAGTCGTCCAAACTGAAACCAGACACGTGATCAGGCTTCAGGGAAGTGACGTTATGTTCTTCTTCACCAGCCCCTCCTCATTCAGACTCAAGTATCTGCAGTGTTGGGAAGGTGACTTTTAAAATGTATTCCCCTACAGATTACAGATTACATCCCCTAAAATGCAACATAATCCATAAATTACTTAAAGTGAGAAATGTAATCTGAATACTTTGGATTACTTGATATTGTCGTGTTTTTTTAAACGACATGAATGTACCAAACACATCCTGAAAATTCTTGTTTGTTCTTCAAATTGTCTGTTGAGTTCAAGTCTCTGTGAACAGACTTTTGTTTTACTGTAGAGAATCAAAGACGAGGATCTGAACATAAGATGTTTTGTTTGCTAAAAGAAAATTAAAAGTCCAGACTTTCCTTAAACATATTAAAAGAAGAATCATTTCTATATGAGATCACTGCTGCCTTCATTTATGTCCACACTACTGTTAGTTAGGGTCACCAAACGTCCGTATTTTGCGTCCTGTCCTGGGCGTCGGGTTTTTTTATAAAGTGATGCAAATGTCTGGGTTTTCAGTACCGTTCATTAAACTGAGCGTCTCTCGTAGCGTCTGTGACTCAGAAGGAGCGAGACACAAACAGTCAGTCTGCAACATATCGAAGCACAAATGCACATTTAACAACGACTTGTACAAGAAATTCTCCGTTTTCCGTCCCGGTCGGGACAAGTGTGAGTCCATGTGCACAGGTTGAGGTGAGAGGACAGTGTCCCTCGTTTATCGTGTTCTAAAAATAACCTGCGATAGATGAAATCCACAAAGTATTCAACTTTATATTTAACAATTATTCTATCTGTTTTAAGGCTGTAAAACCTCAGCACAAACTTTATACACTTTTCTCAGACAGGACAGGTGCAACCCTTTTTACATTCTTCTTAAAACTTATTGCTGCTGTCGTCATGTTATTTTCCTCCTTCGTAACAAACCAAAGATTCTTTTATTCTGTAATGGAGCCTACAGAGCAGAGAACTGCACGGGTTCATTTTTGGAGACTTCCAGTACAACACCGCACCCGCCAGGACAGGACCGCACCTGCCTGTTAACCTGAGATTATATCAAACTTTTGCACTGCCTACGCCACAGACTGAACCAAGACTAAACCAGGACTAACCCAGGACTGACACCGGACTCAGAACGCAGGAGAAAGGACCAATGGAGAGCTCCACAAGCGCGGCAGTTGCCCGATCGGACAAACTGCTCGACGTTTTCTCTTTTAAGTCCAAGATTAGTCCTGGTTTAGCCTGTAAAGTGTCCGGGTTTTCACAAATGGAAATATGGTCACCCTACTGTTGGTGTCATACTGTTTATTTAAAAAAAACTCGTTACAAACATAAAGGTGCCAGCCCAGTAAAAATCAGTAATATTGGATGTTTTTTTTCTCAAAATGATGCAGAATCAGATTATTAACAACGACGATTATTAACGACCTCGTCCACTGTGTGACCGACGCCACCAACATGCAGGGCCTGCAGGGTTTAACGCTCAATTCCAATTTTTTTGTGAAATCCGATGTTTTTTCGAGGTCGTTCACATTTCCAGTTAAATGTGACTTGTATGTGACTCCAGTGTGAACATTAAACGGCCCAAAAGTGTCCCACATGTGACACTGGAGACACGACGACGTCAACCGCAGCGAGCGTCTCTGTGTTTACAGAAGTTGTCCAAACATGGACGCAGCATCGAGCACCTGGAGATTTTAAAGTTCCTCTCGTACCGGAGCCAGAACATGAACAACTTACTTGTTTTAAGGAGGAGATTGAGAAGGAGAAGGACGAGGTTTTTGGTCGTGGTGTTTTGTGGTTCAGTTCGTTGAAAGGAACGTGTGGATGTGGAGACGGAGCCAAGAGTGGTGAGTGGTGATGTGCTTCACTTCAGTGACACAGAGTTCATTAACAATTTTCGCCTACTTCAGTGCAGAATAGTGACGTTTGTGTCTTGTTGATAACGTGTAGGTGGATGAATGCACTTTGTCCGTTCACACTGAAGTCACATGTCAAAAGATCAGATATGTATCAGTTTCAGGAGCACATATCCAAGTGTCCTGGGTCACATTTGAAAAAATCAGATCTGTGTGGTTCAGACTGACATTAAAAGATCAGATACAGGAACATAGGGGCCAAAAATTTGGATTTGGGTTTGCAGTCTGAACGTGGCCTATGTGAAACAGATATATGCTTTTAAGGAAATTCTTTTGCAGAGGTCAAGGTTTTGTCCTTTTAAGGAATTTATTTACAGAGCAGCAGCAGCACAGGAGGCGGCTTTAGCTGGAGCCAAACCAAACAGATTTGCCAGTGATTAAGATTAAGATTAAGATTTGGCTGTCATATCGTCACAATGAAGGAATGCGGTGACACTTCAGGGAGGATCCAAGGCGTGAACCTGAACATATTATTTGCATGTTCATATCTGGGTGAGGGAAACACAGGCGTTCAGAATGACTGATGTAAGTCCTGTGTAACTGTCGGCGTCAGGGACAGTGATCTGACCCAGAGCTCTGTGTTAGAATTCTATAGGCGAGTTTCAGCTGACGTCGTTGTTATTAAAAGCCCGCGTTGCTGCTGGGAAATATTTAGGTCGGAGGCAGAAACACGGTAGCGTCAAACACAGTGCGTAACCTCGCGTATTTCTCCCCGATAATGGTAAATTCCTGCTGCATTATCAGATGCACAAATAGAAACACGGAAGAAGGAAAATGTCTTTTTCATATTCTGAGTGAAAAGAACCACTAACGGTGAATTAAACGACTTTCAAACATCCGCAGAGCAAACGTAGAAGATCCTAACAAACCGTGGACTCCAACAAGTTCAACAACACATCCGAGACTCTTGGAGGTTTTCATCTTTTCTGCTGTGAATGGCCCAGGAGTTTCCACCAAGTCATTGTGGATGTCGCCCAAGTGAATATTTGTCCAGGTAGTTGACGATTCTGACCAGAAATTTGGTTTGGTCCAGGTTTTGTCGGGGTTGAAAAGGATGATTTGTCGTCCATCGATGCTTATGACCAATTTCTGGTCAAATGGTCTTGGGTCCTCTGCCGTTAGAGTGGATAAATAACCGGGATCAATACCCTTTACGTGTTTTCTCGCTCCGTCCGTCATGTTGAATTAGTGTTTTTTGCCGCCGACCAAAATAATTCCCAGACATTCAGTGTTGTCAACGATTCCCGAGATCGAGGATTTAAAGTCGGAACAAAGAGAATGTTTGGTGAATTTTATCTCGGGGAAAGACGTTATTGTTCTTCTTCCTACGGGATTTGGAGCATTACAAACGTCACGACCAAACAGCAGCGACTGGTTAAATAAAAAATGTACCCGCCTACTGTCGAGCGAACGAATCGTAACTCTGCGAGGCTGATGAATCAGACGATGTCACTGCTGCTGTGAGCCACAAAATGTTGGTTTTAACTGGCTCTACATGATCCTGGTGCTTGTTTCTTCGCTTTGGTTTTTTGTCCGTTATTCATCACATAAAACCCGGCGTGAAACCTCTACACTTTTTTTGTGTGTGTCAATTTTGCATGTTTTTTTTTTTTAAGAAGGATGCAAAAAAGGGTTGCACCCGTCCTGTGTGAAAAAAGTGTATAAAGTTTGTGCTGAGGGGTTTTACAGCCTTAAAACAGACAGAATAATTATGAAATATAAAGTTGATACTTCGTGGATTTCACCTATCGTGGGTTATTTTTAGAACGTAACCCCCGCGATAAACGAGGGACCAGTGAACTTTCACTTTGCAGTCTGTGCACATGCCTCCACACTTGTCTCGACTGGGATGGAAAACGGAGAATTTCTTGTACAAATCATTTTAAATACACATTTGTGCTTCGGTATGTATGGAGTAAGAAAGCTGTCAAAAATATTCGTGCGCGTAAAATAGAAATCCGTGCATATTTGGCTGTAGTTGCGCATAAAATAAATATTTGTAAACTCTCAAATGAGTCCAGTCGTACATAAAATATATTGTATTTTATCCATCAGAATACGAATTGAAAAATTACGACGTCATGAATTACAATCACGAAATGAAAATTTACGATTACGCTTTCATCAGTACGAATACGAATTCACAGACGGAACTTTACTGTCAAAAATACGTCATCACTTCACAGACATTATTCATCGAGCAGAAGAAACATCGATCAAGATCAAGACTGTGCAGCTCAAGTTTGTAGCAGAGTAAAAACAGAGTAAAAGCACAAGAAGCTACAACAGAACAACAAGTGGGTTAATTAAAATCTATTGTAAAAATGTCTTGAATTCGGGAACCGAACGCTGCTGTGTAATATTGTGTAGAAACACCTCCTTTGAACGGGAAATTGCACCTATATGTTAGAAAACATAGTGGAGCCAGTTGGAAACATCAGACGTAACGTTATCCCAGGGCTAATTAACAAATATCAGGTTCTCTGTATGTTTAGATTAAAACATTCACGGACTACAGCCACTCTGTTTTTACTCTGCTACAAACTTGAGCTGCACAGTCTTGATCTTGATCGATGTTTCTTCTGCTCGATGAATAATGTCTGTGAAGTGATGACGTATTTTTGACAGTAAAGTTCCGTCTGTGAATTCGTATTCGTACTGATGAAAGCGTAATCGTAAATTTTCATTTCGTGATTGTAATTCATGACGTCGTAATTTTTCAATTCGTATTCTGATGGATAAAATACACACAGTATATTTTATGTACGACTGGAGTCATTTGAGAGTTTACAAATATTTATTTTATGCGCAACTACAGCCAAATACGCACGGATTTCTATTTTACGCGCACGAATATTTTTGACAGCTTTCTTACTCCATAGGTGTGTTGCAGACTGTTTGTGTTTGCTCGCTGCTTCTGAGTCACAGACGCTACGAGAGACGCTCAGTTTAATGTCTCCAATGAACCGTAATGAAAACCCAGACATTTGCATCACTTTAATAAAAAAAAAAAAAAAAACGGACGCCGAGGACAGGACACAAAATAGGGACATGTCCGGGGAAAAACGGACATTTGGTCACCTACTTTACAGTCTCTCCTTGCCCATTTTGTGCAGAATTGAGGAGAAGGTATCAAGGAATCAGCAAGGAAAGAGAAACGAGACTACAAATCATCTCATCTGCCACTTCGTGAAACACTTTTTGAGGTTTCGAAGTCATTTGTGGCGTTATTTTTGGTAGAATTTGATGAGTTGAGTGAAGCTGCGTGTTACTTTCCACTAATGTTTTCTGCTTTCTTGAATTAGACTTTAATCTGAGCTTTATTTTTAACACAATCTGATCAGAACGGACAGATTTATCTAGAACTACAACAGGTGAGCTCATTTTAAAGTCTTTATTTGTTTTGAGGAAGTTGGACAATATCACAGAGTTTCCGAGCTTGTGTTTTCCCTGGAGAATCCCATCGTTTATACATCGTCAGCTGAACCGACGGGTATTTTGTGTTTAGTTTTTTTGATCCCTTAATTACACCTTTATTTAATTATAGTTTATATATAGTTATAGTTAAAGTCACTGTCATTCAATGCAAATCAAACTCAAGTCTAGGCCGTGCTCAGGAAACGTTGCTCATCTCAGACAATTCCAATAAAAGTGAAGATGTTTTGTTCAGTTCTATATAAAATTACAGCCCATAAAAGCCACGGCTGCTCTGTTTGATTTCCATGACGCGCGTCCTCAGTTTTATTTATAACAATGTCCATTCATCGGTCTCTGAAAAAATACTGAAAACAAATAAAAGGCTTGAATGACGTTGATCAGATAAAGGTCTCGCCTGCAGTACAAAGTGTTAAAGTGTTTTCCTCCAAACAAAGGCTTTGCAGCAGCTGCGTTTACAGGAAAACAGGAGCTGCAGCAACAAATGAAGATCTTATTTTCCACACAAACAAGATTCATTTACAGTTTTTCTCGGTCGTTTTGTAACATTTCTCACAAGTTCACACAGTTCTCAGCAGTGTCGGGGAGTAACAGATTACATGTACCGGAGTTATGTAATCAGAGTACAAATGATGAGTAACTGTATTCAGTTACAGTTACTGTTTCAGTGAGTGGGAATTGGATTACAGTTACTTTGTTGAAATAAATGGATTACACAGAGGGATTTTCCTGTTTTCACATTTTGGGCTAAACCAGGACTAAACCAGGTCTAAACCAGGACTAAACCAGGACTAAAACCAAGACTAAACCAGGACTAAACCAGGACTAAAACCAGGACTAAACCAGGTCTAAACCAGGACTAAACCAGGACTAAACCAGGTCTAAACCAGGACTAAACAGGTAAACCAGGACTAAACCAGGACTAACCAGGACTAAACCAGGTCTAAACCAGGACTAAACCAGGTCTAAAACCAGGACTAAACCAGGTCTAAACCAGGACTAAACCAGGACTAAACCAGGACTAAACCAGGTCTAAACAGGACTAAACTAAACAGGACTAACCAGGTCTAACCAGGACTAAACAGGTAAACCAGGTCTAAACCAGGTCTAAACCAGGACTAAACCAGGTAAACCAGGACTAACCAGGACTAAACCAGGACTAAACCAGGACTAAACCAGGTCTAAACCAGGTCTAAACCAGGTCTAAACCAGGACTAAACCAGGACTAAACCAGGTCTAAACCAGGACTAAACCAGGTCTAAACCAGGACTAAACCAGGTCTAAACCAGGACTAAACCAGGTCTAAACCAGGACTAAACCAGGTCTAAACAAGGTCTAAAACCAGGACTAAACCAGGATTTAAACCAGGACTTAAACCCAGGTCTAAACTATACAGTGTGACACTAACAGTAGGTGGACATAATTTAAAGCAGTGTCTCATATAAAAATCATTTTTCCATCGATAATATTTTTAATCTGGTCAAGTAAAGACTGAACAAACCACGAATTTTCAGGATGTTGTTGCTAAATTCATGTAGTTTTAAAAAGCATGACAATATCAAGTAATCCAAAGTATTCAGATTATGTTACTCACTTTAAGTAATTTAATGGATTACGTTACAAACTACATTTTGGTGTGTGTAATCTGTAATCTGTAATGTGGATTACATTTTAAAAGTCACCTTCACAACACTGGTTCTCAGACTCTTAGGCTACGTTCAGGCTGCAGGGTTTAACGCTCAATTCAGATTTTTTTGTGAAATCCGATGTTTTTTCGAGGTCGTTCACATTTCCAGTTAAATGTGACTTGTGTGTGACTCCAGTGTGAACATTAAACGGCCCAAAAGTGTCCCACATGTGACACTGGAGACACGACGACGTCAACCGCAGCGAGCGTCTCTGTGTTTACAGAAGTTGTCCAAACATGGACGCAGCATCGAGCACCTGGAGATTTTAAAGTTCCTCTCGTACCGGAGCCAGAACATGAACAACTTACTTGTTTTAAGGAGGAGATTGAGAAGGAGAAGGACGAGGTTTTTGGTCGTGGTGTTTTGTGGTTCAGTCCGTTGAAAGGAACGTGTGGATGTGGAGACGGAGCCAAGAGTGGTGAGTGGAGATGTGCTTCACTTCAGTCACACAGAGTTCATTAACAATTTTCGCTGACTTCAGCGCAGAATAGTGACGTTTGTGTCTTGTTGATAACGTGTAGGTGGATGAATGCACTTTGTCCGTTCACACTGAAGTCACATGTTAAAGATCAGATATGTATCAGTTTCAGGAGCACATATCCAAGTGTCCTGGGTTATGTTTGAAAAAATCAGATCTGTGTGGTTCAGACTGACATTTAAAGATCAGATACAGGAACATAGAGGCCAAAAAATCTGATTTGGGAACTTCAGGCTGCAGTCTGAACGCAGCCGTTAGTGTGTCAACAAGTCTTACCAAAAGAAAGGAAACATCTGCATCTGTGGTGGGTCACAGTGCCCCACAAGGACAGTTAGTCCCTGAAATGAGCAGAGCAGCTCTCATCAAAACAGGAAATAAAAAAAAAAGAAAATGAAAACTGTGGATAACGGCACAGAGAAACAATAACGGTATTTTCCCATTAAAATACCAAAAAATATCCGAGGTAATCGGTGTGTCAATCGTTCATTCGTTTTTCAAAATAAAACCAAAAATAAGAAAATGAAAAAACAACTATTTTCTTCATTATTTGTCTCCAAAACCAAAATGAAAAAAACAGATAATGATTCTCATTTTTCAGTTTTCAATGAAAAATGAAAACAAAAACAAAAAAACGGATAACGGACTGAACCAGGGCTAAAACAGGACTAACCATTTTCAGTCCTGGTCTGGTCCTGGTCTCAGTCCCAGTCTGGTTCCGGTTTGGTCCCAGTCTAGTCCCAATCTCAGTCCTGGTCTGGTCCCGGTCTCACTCCCAGTCTCAATCATGGTCTGGTCCTAGTCTGATCCTGGCCTCAGTCCTGGTCTCAGTCCTGGTCTCAGTCCTGGCCCTGATCCTGTTCCTGGCCTCAGTCCTGGTCTCAGTCCTGGCCCTGATCCTGTCTCAGTCCTGGTCTCAGTCCTGGCCCTGATCCTGTCCTGGCCTCAGTCCTGGTCTCAGTCCTGGCCCTGATCCTGTTCCTGGCCTCAGTCCTGGTCTCAGTCCTGGCCCTGATCCTGTTCCTGGTCTCAGTCCTGGTCTCAGTCCTGGCCCTGATCCTGTTCCTGGTCTCAGTCCTGGTCTCAGTCCTGGCCCTGATCCTGTTCCTGGTCTCAGTCCTGGTCCCAGTTCTGGTCTGGTCCCGGACCTGGATCAGGCATTGCAGTTTAAGTCACGTAAACGGGAAACGTCCACTATCAGTTTTTTTTTTCAATTTTTCATTTAAACACAAAATTGAAAACTGAAAAAATCAATCATTATCTGTTTTTACATTTTGGTTTTGGAGACAAATAATGAAGAAAACGTTTTTTGTTTTTGTTTTGTTTGTTTGTTTTCTTATTTTTGCTTTTATTTTGAAAAAACAAACGAATGAATGGCACATGGATTCAGGTCGTTTATTTGTTTCACTTAACAACCAGGCTTTTATTTGAGACCAAGTGGGATAATTTCTTCCTCACTAAAATCTTGCTCAACAAAACTGGGAAAATATGGTATATTTAAAATGTTTAAGGCAAATCTCAGAGGAGGTGTCTCTTTTTTACATCTCTTTATAATAGTTTCAGTGAAGCTGAGGCTGATCAGACTCAGCGCAGAGAATACAACCTCTCCACTCCGAGTCACACGACCAGACTGACCTGAAGTCAAACTGCACGTGTCGCTGTAAACATCAGACTCTGTGGTGTCACTGCACTAGTCATGAGATTTTAGTAAAAAAAAGCACAAAAAACGGGAAATGGAAGTTTGAGCCACAACCACGGCTGGACCAGACAGAATTAGACTCAGTGTTTATTAGGTTTTGTATTCACCCTGTGTGTGTGTGTGTGTGTGTGTGTGTGTCTGTCCACCAATGATAATTCCACCATTTATGGACTGATTATCACCAAATTTGGTACATGGGTCAAAAAAGTTTGGTGAGGATCCGAGGTCATTTGAGGTCACACGGGTCAATTCAAAGGTCACACCATTATAAAGGTTAAAGGCAATTTCATCAATTTCTGAACCATCTGTTGCCTAAAATATTCACTCAAACATCACACAAGTTGACACACACATAACCGGGGCACACTGGATGTTACAGGTTGAAACCGGTCAAGGTCACCTGAAGGTCAAGGTCACCAAGGTCACATATGTGTTTTTGGTCATAACTCTACAAAGGATGGAGCTCGAGCAACAGGAGTGTCTCAAAATCTCAGAAAAATTATGATCTATGTCGCCGTGTGTAACTAGGAATAACGGACCAGACACAGGCAGCTCCCAGAAGTAATAATGTGGTTAACTTTTATTTCCCGACTCCTCAGAAGAGAGCAGCATTAATTTTGGTTTGATTTGGCCTTTTTTGGAAGATTACTTAAATGGTTAACAACTGTCAGGATTCACAATATCTGGCTTTTTTTTTGTCTTTGTTCCAACAAAAATGTGTTCTCTCAAAAATAAAATAAAACACTAAATAAAAGACAACAGTAGTGGGCTTATCCTACAATAAACCAAGAATAAACACCACTTAGTATCCATTTCAATTGGCAAGTACACAAAATAAAATTACATTAGTCATTAACACTGTGTAACGGTCAACTTGAACTCACTCACAAAATGGCTGACAGACTGTCCAGACCAACCCAGCACTCTGAAGGACGTGGACACTGCTCTCTCCCCTCTACATTTACAGAACATAAAACATTTGGTCTCACATAAAAAAATACATAAACAGTCCTAAACAGTTCTTTACATTACATATTATTCATATTTAACACTCACGAATTCACGCAGAACAACTTTTCCCCTACGTGAGCAACTCAGCAGGATCACACTTTTCAGGACGGCAAGTCAATCTACATCAATCTTCAATTCTACGAATCAATACAACAACAATCTTGAGATATGAGGCTCATTAAATCATTGTCTAACAATATCTAAGATTATTTTCCTGTTTCGCAGTCATTTAAATGTTCATTTTTACTAATACACACCGTTTTATGTCAGTCTCTTGTTGAGGCACTCAGCCTGTTGTGCAGTGATGACATCACACGCGCTTCTTCTAACAACCACCCAGTCACCCAGCCTGACCACACTACCCCCTACAGGTTACACAGAGAATTGCAGCCATTTCTAAAAACAGTATTTTATAGTCCACCTGGCTACATCTATTTATAATTCTGTATTTGTTATAGTAAAATATGAATAGTTTTCTAGATAATCACTAATTATAACAGTTCCTTTCTCTTTCAGTGTTGCTGTTAAAATTCTAATTGGAACAAAAATAATTTCCATTTCTTGTTTATCAGGTGATACACGACACACTGATCTACAGTCACACAACGAACACACACACAACTCATGACAAATCATGACATGTTGGTTACACACGAGTAAACACAGACGTTCTCATGTGTGACCAACATCACACTAATGTTCACGGGCCTGTACACATACACACGTTGTATTGTGGATATAATGATCATGTGATATGGGCTGGACTCCTCATAAACTGTTTCTGTGCTGAATGATCAAAATCTACACGGGCCCCTGGAGTTTAAATGGACCCGGTGTTTAATTGAAACCAGGCTATTATTTGGTATTTTACAGTAACAGTAACTATTACTAAACTATTATTACTAAAGCAGTGACTCTCTGCGGCCCCTGAGAGCCGGACCGAGGCTCTGCGGCCCCTGAGAGCCGGACCGAGGCTCTGCGGCCCCTGAGAGCCGGACTTTTAGGAGACGATCAGTTTTGAATGAAAAAATGCATTTTGCTCAGATAAAATTGTGTTTTGGAAAAATAAAACAGTGTTCAGGATTTTGTGTTGTTTTGTAAAAGTCATTTTTTAAAACGATTAAACTGTGAGCGACACTTCAAAGTTTCCTTTTATTTACACAAAAGATAAAGTCTGTTCTTCATTATTTTTCTTGAGTTGGTTCATCTCAGTGCATCAGGCTCATTATATAACAAACTCCTTACTCCTGACTCGAACTAGGAAGTACGAGCACATGTGCACATAAGTCCTGGTTTAGTCCTGGTTTTGACCTGGTTTAGTCCTGGTTTAGTCCTGTTTAGTCCTGTTTTAGTCCTGGTTTAGTCCTGTTTAGTCCTGGTTTAGTCCTGGTTTAGTCCTGTTTTAGTCCTGGTTTAGTTCTGGTTTTAGTCCTGTTTTAGTCCTGGTTTAGTCCTGGTTTAGTCCTGTTTTAGTCCTGGTTTAGTCCTGGTTTAGTCCTGGTTTAGTCCTGGTTTAGTCCTGTTTAGTCCTGGTTTAGTCCTGGTTTAGTCCTGGTTTAGTCCTGGTTTAGTCCTGTTTTAGTCCTGGTTTAGTCCTGGTTTAGTCCTGGTTTAGTCCTGTTTTAGTTTAGTCCAGTTTTAGTCCTGTTTTAGTCCTGGTTTAGTCCTGGTTTAGTCCTGGTTTAGTCCTGGTTTAGTCCTGTTTTAGTCCTGGTTTAGTCCTGTTTTAGTCCTGGTTTAGTCCTGTTTTAGTCCTGTTTTAGTCCTGGTTTAGTCCTGGTTTAGTCCTGGTTTAGTCCTGTTTTCCTGTTTTAGTCCTGGTTTAGTCCTGTTTTAGTCCTGGTTTAGTCCTGGTTTAGTCCTGGTTTAGTCCTGGTTTAGTCCTGGTTTAGTCCTGGTTTAGTCCTGGTTTAGTTCCTGTTTTAGTCCTGGTTTAGTCCTGTTTTAGTCCTGGTTTAGTCCCTGGTTTAGTCCTGTTTTAGTCCTGGTTTAGTCCTGGTTTAGTCCTGTTTTAGTCCTGGTTTAGTCCTGGTTTAGTCCTGTTTAGTCCTGGTTTAGTCCTGGTTTAGTCCTGTTTTAGTCCTGGTTTAGTCCTGTTTTAGTCCTGGTTTAGTCCTGGTTTAGTGCTGGTTTAGTCCTGGTTTAGTCCTGGTTTAGTCCTGTTTTAGTCCTGGTTTAGTCCAGTTTTAGTCCTGGTTTAGTCCTGGTTTAGTCCTGGTTTTAGTCCTGTTTTAGTCCTGGTTTAGTCCTGGTTTAGTCCTGGTTTAGTCCTGGTTTAGTCCTGTTTTAGTCCTGGTTTAGTCCTGTTTAGTCCTGGTTTAGTCCTGGTTTAGTCCTGGTTTAGTCCTGTTTTTAGTCCTGGTTTAGTCCTGTTTTTAGTCCTGGTTTAGTCCTGTTTTAGTCCTGGTTTAGTCCTGGTTTAGTGCTGGTTTAGTCCTGGTTTAGTCCTGTTTTAGTCCTGGTTTAGTCCTGGTTTAGTCCTGGTTTTAGTCCTGTTTAGTCCTGGTTTAGTCCTGTTTTAGTCCTGGTTTAGTCCTGGTTTAGTCCTGGTTTAGTCCTGGTTTAGTCCTGGTTTAGTCCTGTTTTAGTCCTGGTTTAGTCCTGTTTTAGTCCTGGTTTAGTTTTTAGTCCTGGTTTAGTCCTGTTTAGTCCTGGTTTAGTTTTAGTCCTGGTTTAGTCCTGGTTTTAGTCCTGGTTTAGTCCTGTTTTAGTCCTGGTTTAGTCCTGGTTTAGTCCTGTTTTAGTCCTGGTTTAGTCCTGGTTTAGTCCTGTTTTAGTCCTGGTTTTAGTCCTGTTTAGTCCTGTTTTAGTCCTGGTTTAGTCCTGTTTAGTCCTGGTTTAGTCCTGGTTTAGTCCTGGTTTAGTCCTGTTTTAGTCCTGGTTTAGTCCTGGTTTAGTCCTGGTTTAGTCCTGGTTTTAGTCCTTTTTAGTCCTGGTTTAGTCCTGTTTTAGTCCTGGTTTAGTCCTGGTTTAGTCCTGGTTTAGTCCTGGTTTAGTCCTGGTTTAGTCCTGGTTTAGTCCGTCATATGACTGAAAGGTTTTCATTCGCTCTCTTCTCTTCTTCTCTAATTTACATAATGAATGTCTCTCTCTCTCTCTCTCTTTTTTAATTTTAATCTTTAATTTTATGATGATTATTTATGTTTCAACTAGTTTTTTTATTGTGATTTAAACGTTTTTCTTCTTCTGTAAAGCACTTTGATTTACTTTGTGTACGATTGTGCTGTGCAAATAAACTCGCCTTGACTTGCCGACGCACAAACACTGATTATAAAACGTTTACATCATAATTATGTGACAAGTGACTCAGCAGATGTGTTGGGTTTTTTTTGGTCATTTGAAGCATGACACAGCAAGAAACATTTTTTTGCAATTTAAAGCATGACGCAGCAAAAAAGAAGAAGTGACCTGATAAAAACACGATGTAATTTATTGCACAAGAAACTGTTCAAAAGATCTGATCTGTTGAACTCAGAACACATACTTCTACTTCTTCTTCTTCTTCTTCTTCTTCTTCTTCTACTTCTTCTTCCTTTTATTATTATTATTATTAACATTATTATTATTATTATTATTATTATTATTATTATTATTATTATTATTATTATTATTATTATTATTATTATTATTATTATTAACATTATTATTATTATTATTAACTTATTATTATTATTATTATTATTATTATTAACATTATTATTATTATTATTAACATTATTATTATTTTATTATTATTATTGATTATGGTACAGAGTAGTGATGTAAAAACAAGGTTATAAATGTAGAGTGAGACATAAGAGAGAAAGAGAAAAGAGAAAGAAAAAAGACAAGACAGAGAAGAGAGAGAGAGAAGAGAAAAAGAGGAGAGAGAAGAGAAAAACACAACAGAGAGAAGAGAGAAAGACAAGAGAGAGAGAAGAGAGAAAGAGACGAGAGAAAGACAAGACAGAGAAAGAGAAGAGAGAGAGAAAAAAGACAAGACAGAGAGAGAGAGAGAAGAGAGAGAGAGAAGAGAGAAAGAGAAGACAGAGAGAGAAGAAGAAAGAGAGAGAAGAGAGAAAGAGAAGAGAGAAAGGAGAGAGACGAGAGAAAGAGAAGAGAAAGAGAGAATAGAGAGAAAGGTGAGAGAATAGAGAGAAAGGAGAAAGACAAAAGAAGAAGAAGAGGAGACAAGAGCGAAGAGAAGAGAGAGCGAAAGAGAAAGAGAGAGAAGAGAGACAGAGAAGAACAAGAGAACGAAGAGAGAAACAAAAGTGAGGGAGAAGAGACAAAAGAGAGAGGAGAGAGAGGAGAAGAAAGAGAGACAGAGAGAGAGTGAGAGAGAGAAGAGAAAAAGACGAGAGAGAAGAGAGAAAGAAAAGAGAAAGACAAGAGAGGAAAGAGAAGAGAGAGAAAGAGAAGTGGAAATAAAAAGACAAGAGAGAGAGAGAGAGAAAAGAGAAAGACAAGAGAGAGAAAGAGAAGAGAGAGAGAGAAAGAAAAGAGAGAAGAGAGAGAAGACAAAGAGAAGAGACAGAGAAGAGAAGAGGGAGAAAGAGAGGAGAGAGCGAAAAGAGAGAGAAAAAGAGAGAAGAGAAAAGAAAAAGAGAGAGAAGAGGAGACAGAGAAGAGAGAGAAAGAAAAGAGAGAGAGAGAGAGAAGACAGAAGAGAAGAGAAGAGAGAGAGAGAGAGAGAAAGAGAAGAGAAAAGAAAAAGAGAGAGAAGAGAGACAGAGAAGAGAGAGAAAGAAAAGAGAGAAGAGAGAGAAGACAAAGAGAAGAGACAGAGAAGAGAGAGAGAAAGAGAAGAGGAAAGAAAAAGACAGGAGAGAGAAGAGAGATAGAGAAGAGAGAGAAAAGAGAGAGTGTGAAGAGAAAGAGAGAGAAAGAGGAGGAAAAAACCAACAAAAAGAATAAATAAAATGACACTGGTCTGGGGATTATAATTTATATTTTTCCACACACGGGTTTTTCTGTGGGTGGATTGTTTCTAGAATCATATTTTATTATAATTTTTTATTTTTTTACACTGAAATTACAAGTTTCTCGTTTTGCTTTTTGCTTTTGTGACGACAGAATTTGACCAAAATGATTTAAAAGTTTTACATTTGTCCAGGAGGTGGTGCTGTAGAGGCAGGTCAGGGACAGGAAGCGCGATAGTGATCTGAGGTTTTGTTTATCGGACAATTTAACTGTGTCTTTTTTTTTTTCTTTTTTTTTTAACACTAAAATAAAAGAGAAAGATCGTGGGAACACTCACATTTAAAACCACCACTTCACCACTTCACCGTTTCACTTTGGTTGTCACTTCGGTTTCACAGCAGAAGGAGGCACAAACTGAAAATGTCACCAATTTTTTTTTTTTTTTTTTTTTCTAAAGCAGTGTGACATTTCCTTTTATTCTTCATTTGCATTTGCGTTTTTTCTTTGTTTGGTTTTGGAGACAAATAATGAAGAATATTGTCGTTTTTTTTTTAAATTACTTTTGGTTTTATTTTGAAAAACGAACGACTGAACGAACGACGCACGGATTCTCGCCTCCTCTGCAGAATGAACTTCTCAGAGCTTTGAATCGCGTCGCAGCTTCTCACCGATCCTCTGAAGTTGTATTTGGAGTGATTCGCGCAGGTTTGAGGAACTTATTTTCGAGACGCCGTGTCGCCGCCGCCGCACGCCCACTACTTGATGAAAAGATTAACTGGAAAGCCCACATCCAATATATACATCATAAAATATCAAAAAGTATTGCAGTATTAAACAAAGCAAAGTACAAAACCAAAATAGAACCATTGATAAAACCTCAAAAAAGAGCAATAAGAATTATTGGTAACACTTTATAATAACTACACCTTATTTAGCCTTAATAAAGCATGAATAAAGACTTAATTAATACTGAACAAAGACTTAATTAATAATGATTCACGCTTAGTAAATGTTTAATAAAGGATAATTCGTGTTCACTTTAGAAAAGCTCTCAGAAAGACTGAACTAACAGACAACAGCTGCCGGAATGATCATTGTATTGCATTATTAGTAAATCATTCTCTCGTAGTTTATTAATGATTAATAAATGCTCAAATGGTTAGTTCATGAGTAATTAAGTATGAAATAATTATGAGTAACTATTTACAGCACAGGCAAATGAAGTGCAAGTGCGAATTAAGGTAGTAATTAAGTAGTTACTAAGCGTGAATCATTATTAATTAAGCCTTTAGTTCATGCTTTATTAAGGCTAAATAAGGTGTAGTTATTATAAAGTGTTACCGAAGTATTTATAATGTCAGATTTCATGACCGCACTGTTTATTCACGCCGCATTACTCAAACTGAATGATTTGATCTGCACAAGTCAAGTATAAAGCTAAAAATAAGCACTTACCAAAAAATATCCAACTACTTTTTTGTGAAAGGGAAGGAAACTATAACTGAAGAGGCTTTTTGAATTTTAAATTGCCTCGTGCTCGAACAACAAGAAAACGTTTTTGTGTCTCTGTTTGTGGTGACAAATTATGGAACAACTTGAAAATAGAATTAAAACTTTGTTCAAATATAAATGTGTCCAAAAGGGCAGTTAAAAAAATTGATTATTTCAAAATACTGTGCAGAAAAAAATAGTGCTTAGTTTATATGTGAGCATGTATATGTATGTATATATGTATATATATATGCATGGGTATGTATATGTGTATATAATATTTATGTATATATTATATCTGTGTATATGATGTGTACTATATCTGTGTACATAATAAACATATATTTGTTGTTAGATTTGTAATGCAGTGTGGGTATTGTACAATTACTGTTTATATTGTAGAGGAAATGAGAAGTCTGTATGTTCTTTGTTCATTGACGGTAGAAAAAAGGGGTGGGGTTAAATGAGTATTTACTTCCTCCCACTCCTTTTTCAGACACAAGGAAAATTCGACATAACATTTATTTTGCCTGTTATTATAGAATAGAAATATTTACTTTTTGTGTTATATCTATGTATTTATGTTTTTTTATTTATGTTCTATGTGTTACTGTCTGAATAAACATTCATTCATATATTTTCTGAGTCAGTGAGACGTGCAGCGTTCAGCAGTGCAGTGTCATTCTCATATGAATGAAAAAACTCCCTGTTCGTTGGTGTGAAGTGCATGTTTCTGTTGAGTTTCCCGTGTTTCAGATTTGTTGGTGGTGATGTGTCATGTAGGACGCAGCTTTAATAAACCTAATGTTTAGTTTTAAACGTGGTGTCTGCGTTTCTTTTGAATGTGCATCATTTTATTCAATCATCCCTGAGGTTCATATGAAGCAAAGCAGGAAACCACAGAAGAACATTTACATTTTCTTTAGACAGCGCTCCCTAGAGGCCCTGGCACAGGTGTCTGTGCACATGCCTGTACAACAAACTCTAACACAATATGTGATGTTTAAAAACAGAACAGATCAGACAGAGCAGTGCCTCCAGTTAGAATCACACGCCCATCACATCAGCTGCAAAGAGTCAACTTTGACCTGAATGATATTTATAATATTATTATCATTCAGGTCAAAGGTGACTCTTTATTATTATATTATAATAATATTTCAGACAAAGCAACATGGACATAAACACCAGGATCAACAGTGCAACTTTAAAGGAGAATTCTGCAAAATCCACTTTTTGGAGCTTTTACCATGTTATAATGTTATGTTGTAATGTTATAAATGTTATAATATAATGTTGTAATGTTATAAATGTTATAAATGTTATGTAATGTTATAAATGTTATGTAATGTTATATAATGTTATGTAATGTTATAAATGTTATAATATAATGTTGTAATGTTATAATGTTATGTAATGTTATAATGTAATGTTATAAATGTTATGTAATGTTAAATGTTATGTAATGTTATAAATGTTATAATATAATGTTGTAATGTTATAATGTTTTATGTAATGTTATAAATGTTATGTAATGTTATAATGGAGTTCAAGTGTGTCGGGGTCTTGTTCTCGAGTGAGGGGAGGATGGAGCGTGAGATTGACAGGTGGACAGGTGCAGCGTCTGCAGTGATTTGGTCGCTGTATCGGACCGTTGTGGTGAAGAGGAGCTGAGCCGAAAGGCGAAGCTCTCGATTTACCGTCAGTCTACGTCACCTCTGGTCATGAGCTCTGGGTAGTGACCGAAAGGACGAGATTGCAGATACAAGCGCTTGAAATGAGTTTCCTCCGCAGGGTGGCTGGGCGTCTCCCTTAGAGACAGAGTGAGGAGCTCAGTCACACGGGAGGAGCTGCTCCTCCACGTCAAGAGGAGCCAGTTGAGGCTCGGGCATCTGTTCTGATGTCTCCTGGACGTCTCCCTCAGGAGGTGTTCATGTCCCACCGGGAGGAGGCCCCGGGGAAGACCCAGGACACACTGGAGGGACTATGTCTCTGGACTGGCCTGGGAAAACCTCGGGGTCCCTCCGGAGGAGCTGGAGGAAGTGTCTGGGGTGAGGGAAGTCTGGGAGTTCCTGCTTCGGCCCGAGTTCCTGCTGCCCCCGCGACCCGGCCCCAGATAAGCGAAAGAACATGGATGGATGGATGTTATAATGTTTAATGTGTGTATAATGTGATAATGTTGTAATGTTATGATGTTATAATACTGCAGTGTTATAATGTAATGTTGTAATGTTATTTATTGTCCTAATGTTTTGTAATGTTATGCTATGTTATGTTATAATGTTATAATGTGATAATCTTGTAATGTTACACCACCCAGGCTCCCACATGACAGTTTTCCATTAATCGACAAAAACATGACACAAAACTGAACACGGCGACTTCACAAACCTCATGTGAAGTGCGGCGGTTTCATCATCAGGCCGCACTCTGACTGTGCTGTGATACAGTATCTGAAGGGGAAGTGACTTTTCACAGAGAGAACATTTGAATATATTGTTTTTGGCGACTATAGCGTTTTCCAAAATAATATCCGGCAACACGGTGATTTAAAGAGTTTACGTGTTACAGTTGATGCCCCATAGAAGTTTACTACTCCTCTGTGGTAATTTGACATTTCTAGTTGATTCTGTGTTTTGTGTCTGTGTTGTGGTTAACTGTTAAAACTGTTAAACTCTCGAGATCACAGGAAACCTGAAGCAGGCCATGTGAGAGTGCAGAGAATCAGCATCCTGTACAAAACCAAAATACATCAAACGCCACGTCAGACTGACACGGACATGGACCTGGCCGCGCTCTGCTCTTTCCTCGGTAAGAAACTTTTTAACGTCTGTCTGAGCGGGAACGAGCCGCCGACACACTGCAGCTCAACAGAAAACATGATGCAACGTAAAAGTAGTAAAGTACTTCAGTAGAAATTTGAGGTATTTGTACTTTAATAGAGTGGATTTAACAGTGTGTACTTTTTACTTTTACTTCAGTACTTTTGAGAGCAGGTATCTGTACTTTCTGCTCCAGGACTGAAAAGTAAAAGTATTTTTATTCTAGTTTGGGACCTGCGACTTATGTCACTTTTAATTTCTCATCTCAGAAAATTCCACTCAACGTTTGAATCAAAAATACAAGAGATTTTTTATTTATTAACCCTCTTCCACGACTTTAAGTTTTCTCATGCTCAGACAATGTCCCGATATTCAATACTAGTCCTGGTTTAGAACTGGTTTAGTCCTAGTTTAGTCTTGGTTTAGTCCTGTTTTAGACCTGGTTTAGACCTGGTTCATTTTGTTTTAGTCCTGGTTTAGACCTGATTTAGACCTGGTTTAGTCCTGGTTCATCTGGCTTTTGTGGTCGTGGTTTAGTCCTGGTTTAGACTTGATTTAGTCCTGGTTTAGTCCGGTTCATCTTGTTTTAGACCTGGTTTAGACCTGGTTTAGTCCTGGTTTAGACCTTGGTTTAGACCTGGTTTAGACCTGGTTTAGTCCCGGTTTAGACCTGGTTTAGTCCTGGTTTAGTCCCGGTTTAGACCTGGTTTAGTCCTGGTTCAGCTTGTTTTAGACCTGGTTTAGACCTGGTTTAGTCCTGGTTTAGTCCGTTTTGGTTTAGACCTGGTTTAGTCCCTGGTTTAGACCTGGTTTAGTCCTGGTTTAGTCCTGGTTTAGTCCTGGTTCATCTTGTTTTAGACCTGGTTTAGACCTGGTTTAGTCCCGGTTTAGACCTGGTTTAGTCCTGGTTTAGTCCTTGTTTTTTTAGACCTGGTTTTAGACCTGGTTTAGTTTCCTGGTTTAGTCCTGGTTTAGTCCTGGTTTAGACCTGGTTTAGTCCTGGTTTAGTCCTTGTTTTAGACCTGGTTTAGACCTGGTTTAGTCCTGGTTTAGTCCTGGTTTAAGTCCTGGTTTACCTGGTTTAGTTTTAGACCTGGTTTAGTTTAGTCCTGGTTTAGTCCTGGTTTAGTTTAGACCTGGTTTAGTCCTGGTTTAGTCCTTGTTTAGACCTGGTTTAGTCCTGGTTTAGTCCTGGTTTAGACCTGGTTTAGTCCTGGTTTAGTTTACCTTGTTTTAGACCTGGTTTAGTCCTGGTTTAGTCCTGGTTTAGACCTGGTTTAGACCTGGTTTAGTTTAGTCCTGGTTTAGTCCTGTACTCTCTCCACTACATTTTTTGAACAGGACTGAAAAGAAAAAAGTATTTTTCTTATAGTTGGAGACCTGCTGAATTTTTTTTTTTTTTTTTACACATTGAGCAAATAAAAATACACAAATACAAACAGCTGGAAAAATACATGGATTTAATTGTTTTTATTTATCAAAAATCATCACAAATCTGCATCAAAATCACAACATTTTAGGCTTCATTCGATCTCAAAAAGTGTGCGAAATACTTTTACTTTTTAGTCTTCATGTACATTTTTAAACAGGTTTTTATACTTTTACTTAAGCAGGTTTTTTCATGTGATATTTTTACTTTTACTTGAGCATTTTTTTCACTATTTTCTTTTAGTCACATCATTTTAAGTCAAATACTTAGACAAATTTTAACAGCATTAGAACATAGATTTGTAAAACAGAGTAATATTTGTCCTTCATTTGTTTTTCTTTTCAGTGTCTTTGAGAGTTTTCCCGAGTCGTGTGCAGTTCTTTCAGTACGAATCGGTTTATTTGAGTTGCGGAGATGAAACCAACGCATCTGAATGGACCATCATGAGGAACACGACTCGTCACACAAACCAGAAAAACCCAGCGCAGAATAAATCCAGCTGGTATTTCAACAGTAACTTGTACTACAGAGACGCCGGCGTGTACTGGTGCCAGTCTGAAGACGGACAGTGTGGGGCTGTGGTGAACATCACTGTGACCGGTGAGAACGAGACACACAACACACTTTAGGAAAATGCTTTAAGATCATCTGAGAACTCAAGAAAAAACACAAAATGGATTTAAAGAGCACGTTTTCATTTTCCTGTGATCAGTGCAAGTGTTTTTGAGATATATGGGTCAAGCAGAAATAAACAACAAGGCCAAAACTTCAAGTGAATTCATCTGATATAAAAATGTATTGAACAGATACATATGTACTCGAGTTTATCAAACTGTTGACCTTTTTTCTGGACCATTTTTGGTTCTAAAGTTCCATCCGTTTTAAACAGACCATGTATGAAACATGGAACAAACATTATTTCCCAAATTTCAAAGACCCAAAAATCATGTAAATAAATGGATGTATTTCATCATATCTTGTGTTATTCCATCTTTGAACTGTTGATGAAGGGACAGGATAAAAAAAAAAAAGTATTTAAAATGATCAAAATGTTCTTGGAAGGACTGACATATTTTATAGAAATAGTTTCTTTCATTTTGAAGTAATATTAAAGTATTCAGAAGAAAAAAGTGACAAATGATGTAAAATCCTGCACCTTCTACTTGTTTGTACAATTTTCCCTCCGTTACTTTTCCCTCCGTTACCATGACCTTTCTTAATAAAAAATCTCATGAGTCAAAAAGTCAGAGGTTTTTCAACCTAATCTTGTACCATATGGTAGAAAACTATATGAAGCAAATATTCAAACCAGTTTGTTAAGGATATGTAAGTGAGAACCAAGAGTTATCACTGTTTGGATTTATTGACCAAAAAGTGCTGCATATTTCATTCCCTCCGTTACCGACATGAGTTTTTTAATTTTTTGTCTTGAACTTGAAAGAATCTCACAGGTTTAACTTGACCCTGTTGGAGTGTAACTCTTTCCTACATTCTGATACTTTACTTATTTCAATAGTTCCTCTAGTTTCTGAATAAGAGACATTTGAATGTCAAAAATCTGACCCGGTTTCCCTCCGTTAACACTTGACTGGACCCATATAGCAAATGTAGAGTGACCAGATTTTCAAAATAAAAAACTGGGACACTCTCGGTTTGTGGCGGTTTGTAAAAATAAAATTTTGAAACGAGTGCGTAATTAAAGAAAACTGTTCTGCACTCGGCCTTCGCATGAACATGAGTCAATACAGTCACATTTTCTTTGTGTTTTGGTCGTTTTTAAGAAGCTTTTCTGTATTTTACCTACAAAAATACCTCTCTTTACTCGGGGTGTTGTGTGTTAGTTTTGTGACTGTAGATCAGTGTGTCGTGTATCATCAGAAAAACAAGAAATGGAAATTAAGTTAAGATAAAAAGATAAGGACAGGGGGTAACGTGCTTTATCAAAAAAAAACCAAAAAAAAAAACCAAGACAACACAGCACAATACACCACATAAACTAACACCACAGAACAAAAATATATACGAGACCAAGTGTGAAAACGAGTGACGCACCAACAGGAGCTTTAAATTATTCTTTACACGCAAACCCTCTGCAGTCTTCTATTCTATTAATAATTGCACACTTAAACTTATGCACAGTTTTAATTGCACATTCCCCTTGAGCCTATGCACAGTTTTGATTGCACACTTCCTGAACCTACGTGCAGTTTTAATTGCACATTCCCTAAGCCTTTTATAGGGAAATTATTTTGGTTCCAATTAGAATTTTAACGGCAACACTGAAAGAGAAAGGAACTGTTATAATTAGTGATTATCTAGAAAACTATTCATATTTGACTAAACAAATACATAGAAATAAATAAACAGATCATAATTTTTCTGAGATTTTGAGACACTCCTGTTGCTCGAGCTCCATCCTTAGTGGAGTTATGACCAAAAACACATATTTGACCTTGACCGGTTTCAACCCGTAACATCCAGTGTGCCCCGGTTATGTGTGTGCCAACTTGTGTGACGATTGGGTGAATATTTTAGGCCGCAGATGGTTCAAAAATTGCCGAAATAGCCGATCTTTTATAACGGCGTGACCTTTCAATTGACCCGTGTGACCTCAAATGACCTCGGATCATCAACAAACTTTTTTTTTTTTTTTTTTTTTTTTTTTGCGGGGGCTTGACCCACGTACCAAATTTGGTGACAATCGGTCCATAAATGGTGGAATTATCGCGGTTGGACACACACAGACACACACAGGGTGAATACAAAACCTGGTCAGCCGTTTGGCGACAAGTTTCTTTGCTTAAATTCATTGTTATGGTGCAATAATAGCTTAAAAAACATAATTTTTTTGCTCCGTTTTGGTGCAAACTACGTGAAGAAATAGCAGTTCTAACACTTTTAAATCTTAGTTCTTTGGATTAACTCTTGTCAAGGCGTTTTAAGAGGAAAAAGACATTCACAGTTTTGTTAGTGTTCACAAAATATCGCAATAAATATCGTACAGTGAGATGTGTATCGTGAAAATATCGTACCGAGAGATTTGGATATTGTTACATCTCTACTTTGTACTGTTGGCAGAGATGAGATTGGTCAAAAATAAGGAAACTTCGGACATTTCTTGTGTAAAACTGGGATAGAGACGGACACACTAAATAAACGAAAAATTCAATTCTGTTACTGAAGAAACGTTTTTTCTTCAGTTCTGATCAGACACTGGTGACTTATATCTGCCTGAAGGGGGCGCTAACTACACTGAAACTACTCTGAAACTAACACCCAACTTGTTTACAGTTTCTGTTTGTAGCTTGACCTTTGAACTTGCACTGAGTGGGGGCTGTAAATGAGTCATTTAGCAGAATCATCTCTGATCCTGACCAGGTTCTCACTGTTTTCTTTTTGTTTAGGTTTAAGTTCGATGATTATATCCAAAAACCTCCATTCCTGTTCAAAGATGGATTTTCTTTCTTAACAAAAACAGCTTCTTTAACTCCTCTCTCAAACTGTTTCTTTTCTCTGGCTCAGATCTGTGCCTCACTGTCCGAGACTTTTCGGCGGAGATGAACAGCCGACTGAGGTCCCGTGTTGTTCTCTCGTCTGCGCTGGCACATCCTGTTGTGAATTGTCTGTTTTGTTCACTGTAGCCTTCACCGCACTGAGTGGAAGAGACCACACTGCTTTCTTTGTGGCTCAGGGTTTTGTCTTTTGCATCAGCCAGTTTCTCTCTCCCACTTACAGCTCCGTTGTCAAACCTAAACAAAGAAAACTACAGTGAAAGTCTGTGGGCTCAGTGGTGTGAAAGCTCCACCCGAGGGGGCTTGGATGATTCTGTAAAATGACTCAGGCAAAGTCCCCAGCCCACCGAGCTACAAACAGAAACTGTAAACAGGTAGAGTGTTAGCTTCAGAGTAGTTTGAGTGTAGTTAGCTCCTCCTTCAGGCCAGCGTTTGACCAGGGGCCTCATTTATAAAGCTTGTTTACGCACAAATCCTTGCGTACTTGCTCTCTACCCCAACCGCGGTATTTATGAACCTCGATTAAAGCGTGGCACTTTGTTTAACTCTACGCCAACTCGGGACCTCCTGTAAACTCTACGCAAAGTCTGGAGACACGAGGATAAAGCGACGCTCGTGGAGAGAAACAGAAGTGAACAGAGTTTGAGGAAGAGTTTGATCAGAAAATCCACGTATATAGAAGAATGACCTTCAGATTTGCGCATTTTAAGTGTTTGGTTCATCAAAACACAGAGAAGGGCTGTTTATTCCACTCATTATTCTCTAAAATATTATACATTTCAAACTCGTGCACGAGCGCGGCCACGTTCCCGGTGCAGTGCAGAGTCTCCTACAGTCCACACCGCGACCACAGACCCTATAGAACACAGACTGTGACCAACACAGAGGACGAAATAATGACCCGACCTGAGACAAAAACTCTTCCCTCGGACGGAGCACAGGAGCTTTTTTGGTTTAATGAAGCACTGGGACTAAACGCAACTTGAGCACTTTTACTTTTGTGCACTTTTACACGACACGAAGCCGACTGCCCGAACCTGACCCCAACCTTAAATATTCACCACATTTTTGTGTAATGAGGAAAGCTCTTGCAAATGAGAGCTGCTCTTTGACAAGAAAACAATAATGTCTGTGCCGCTACTAGGCGTCCGCACTAGTTTACGACAACTGGTACACAGTTTTTTTTTTTATAAATGAGGCCCCAGAACTGAAGAAGCACCTTGGATGAGTGGTGAAAAATGTTCGACCTAAATTTTACATTTAATATCCATCCATCCATTTATCCGGGGTCGGGTCGCGGGGGCAGCAGCCTAAGCAGGGACTCCCAGACTTCCTTCACCCCAGACACGTCCTCCAGCTCCTCCGGGGGGACCCCGAGGTGTTCCCGGGCCAGTCCAGAGACTGGGAGGAGGCCCCGACATGCCTGGAACACCTCCCGAGGGAGACGTCCAGGAGGCATCTGGAACAGATGCCCGAGCCTCAACTGCTCCTCTCGATGTGGAGGAGCAGCGGCTCTACTCCGAGCTCCTCCCGTGTGACTGAGCTCCTCACCCTGTCTCTAAGAGAGCACCCAGACACCCTGCGGAGGAAACTCATTTTGAAATAATACGTTTAATATTGTCAATTCAAACCATCTGTACACAAAAACATATTTATTTTACACGTTGCTCAGGGTAACCATTGTTTTTGCAGATTTCTTGAGTTAAATTTCTTTGTCTTGAACTTGTGCGTTGTGCTTCTGTTGTGTTTGTAGCTGGAGATGTGATCTTGGAGAGCCCACCGCTGCCTGTAACAGAGGGACACACAGTCACACTTCGGTGCATTTGGAACCCAGACAAACCGAGAACTGAAGGAACGTTTGAGTTCTTTAAAGACGGTTCTTGTGTTGGGAACAGCTCCAGTGGAAACCTGACCATCCCCTCTGCGTCTCACTCAGACTCTGGGCTGTACACGTGCAGCCACCAGGGGGCGCTGTCTGCAGAGAGTCCACTGCACGTGCTCAAAACGGGTCAGTCACCTTCACCTTATTCCAGAAGTTCATCATTTGGGTTTGTGTTATTGTTCATGGGGCTGTCGGTTTCAACACAAATATGTTCTATATGAATCACAAAACTGTTTTAAAGTTTTAAAGACTCCAGAGAATCAGAGCAATGTTGACAATTTTACACAAATCTGCCTATTTTATATTTTATTTTAGCAGCAAAACTCAAGTTCAGTTCAGTTCTTTATTGAAATGAGTGCGATCCAGAAGTGCCACCACAAAGAACAGGAAAAGGTGGACGGAGCTAAATAGAACAGAACAAGTTGAGATGCCAAAATAGTCTCTAGTCACACTTACGTCACAAACCACAACTTCTGGTGTAGTTTTTGACACTGGGCTCGACTGTGAAAAAAAACTATAAAGCTATAATAAAATGGCAGTGGTCTTCATAACCTGACAAAGTTTTTCATGGAGGACGAGACTCATATGTTCGAAGTCACTTACAGTTGATTCGCCGAACATAACAGAACGCTACAATGACATTTAGATGAAGAAAACTGGGCCATTTTGTCATTTTTCTTAGATTTTTTATACTGCGAACAGAGCCCACCGCAGGAAGTCGTCATCGCATGTTTCCAAAACATCTTCCCGGTTTGTGACGTACGCGTGAATAGAGACAATAGGCAAGTTTCAGCTGACGTCATTGTTATTAAAAGCCCGCGTTGCTGCTGGGAAATATTTTGGTCGGAGGCAAGAAACACAATAGCGTCAAACACAGTGCGTAACCTCACGTATTTATCCCCGATAATGGTAAATTCCTGCTGCATTATCGGACGCACAAATAGAAGCACGGAAGAAGGAAAATGTCTTTTTCGTATCCTGAGTGAAAAGAACCGCTAACGGTGAATTAAACGACTTTCAAACATCCGCAGAGCAAACGTAGAAGATCCTAACAAACCGTGGACTCCAACAAGTTCAACAACACATCCAGACTCTTGGAGGTTTTCATCTTTTCTGCTGTGAATGGCCCAGGAGTTTCCACCAAGTCATTGTGGATGTCGCCCAAGTGAATATTTGTCCAGGTAGTTGGAGATTCAGACCAGAAATTTGGTTTTGTCCACCTTTTGTCGGGGTTGAAAAGGGTGATTTGTCGTCCGTCGATGTTTATGACCAATTTCTGGTCAAATGGTCTTGGGTCCTCTGCCGTTAGAGTGGATCAATAACCGGGATCAATACCCTTTACATGTTTTCTCGCTCCGTTCGTCGTGTTGAATTAGCGTTTCTTGTCGCCGACCAAAATAATTCCCAGCATGCAACGCGCGCTTTTGTCAACAATGAAACTTGCCTATACTTGCTACGGTTTAGACCAGAATCCGACTTGGTTTTGATCCCAGTTGAGACCAGTTTAGCTCTGGTCTTGTTCCAGTTCAGACCTGGTGTGGTCCCAGGTCTCGGTTCAGTCCTGCGTGTGTCCAAAAACAAGGTAAACAAAACCATAACAGGGAACAACTGGAATGGGGAATTATTCTTTGTTGTCTCAGGGGGCGTCCACACGACAAGGTTTTTTGGTCAAAGTGGAGAAGTTTTTATTTGTTTTGGCCGGGGTCACGTTGTCGTTTGGACAAACAAACCGCAGCGTTTAGAAAACGACGTCACGATCCCGTCATCTCCAGGGTCGTCTGATGCAGCGAAGCCCGCGGCCCTCGATCTCTCCTCCGCAGACCACAAGAGCGTCGACCTGGGTTTAGTCCTGGTTTAGTCCTGGTTTAGACCTAGTTTAGACCTGGTTTTAGACCTGGGTTTAGACCTGGTTTAGTCCTGATTTAGTCCCGGTTTAGTCCTGGTTTAGACCTGGTTTAGTCCACAATTATTCTTAGTTTAGGCCCAGTTTAGACCTGGTTTAGTCCTGATTTAGTCCCAGTTTAATCCTGGTTTAGTCCTGGTTTAGACCTGGTTTAGTCCTGGTTTAGACCTGGTTTAGACCTGGTTTAGTCCTGGTTTAGTCCTGATTTCTTAGACTTCAACTTAGACAAACTTTATTGATCCGCAAGGAAAATGATTTGGACAAAAATTTGGATAAAAATTTCTAAATAAGTAGCAAAAAAAAAAAAAAAAAAGTCAAAATAAAACAGAAAGAAGTACAATAAAATAAAATAAAACACAAAAGGTCACAGGAAACAGTTCAAAAACAACAACAGGATGTTCTTTTGTCGCGTCTGTGCCTCGTGTTTGTTTTTGTTATTGAGGTCAGTTTGTGGTTTTGTTCACAGCGGGAAGCCCCCCACAGCTCTCCGACGGCCCGGCCTCCGTTCTCGCCTACTCCTCCGTCCTCATCGTCGCTCTTACTGTTGCCGCGGCGACGGTTCCAACAGTAGCCCTCCTCGTCTGCGTCTGGAGGAGAAGGAAGCTGAAAGGTCAAACACCCCCTCTGCACTCAGCACGTACACACGACACACGACACACACACACACACACGACACACACACACACACGACACACACGAGCCGCACAGAAACTCTGGGCTCAAGGCTTAAGATGCACTCTGGAACTTTTCGGTCGGAGTTATGCAGATTACATGTACTGGAGTAATCAGAGTACAAATGATGAGTAACTGTATTCAGTTACAGTTACTGTTTCAGTGAGTGGGAATTGGATTACAGTTACTTTGTTGAAATAAATTGTTGGATTTTCCTGTTTTCACATTTCTAAACCAGGACTAAACCAGGTCTAAACCAGGACTAAAACCAGGACTAAACCAGGACTAAAACCAGGACTAAACCAGGACTAAAACCAGGTCTAAACCAGGACTAAACCAGGTCTAAACCAGGACTAAACCAGGACTAAACCAGGTCTAAACCAGGACTAAAATCAGGACTAAAACAGGATTTAACAGGACTAAACCAGGTCTAAAACCAGGTCTAAAACCAGGTCTAAAACCAGGTCTAAACCAGGTCTAAACCAGGACTAAACCAGGACTAAACCAGGTCTAAACCAGGACTAAAATCAGGACTAAACCAGGACTAAAACAGGATTTAACAGGACTAAACCAGGTCTAAAACCAGGTCTAAACCAGGACTAAACCAGGACTAAACCAGGTCTAAATCAGGACTAAACCAGGACTAAACGGGTGTTACGACCCAGCTCTGCTAGGGACAGGGGGAAGTAACAAAATAACCAAGATTGTAAAATGGTAAAACTAAAGTTGTGATTTATTTAACAGAATTTTAAGGTAAAACTAACAAAAGAATGATTTTTACAGGAATTAACAAAAAGAGGCTCTAAACAGAGTGGCTAACAGTATAAGGCAAAATGAGCTAAAGAAAAACAGGGTATAAAAAATGAAACAGAAAAACAAAAACCAGTCTAAGTCACCAGGACTGTAGAGTCTCAACAAAACACACCACGAGAGACACAAAGGTAACAGGCAAGTCCACAACCAGAACAGCTGCCCTGAGTGGCAGGGGGCGGGTCCTTTTATAGGGCCGGAGCTCCAGGTGTAGGCCCGGGATTGGCCAGGTGTTTCAGCTTCCACCAATCAGGGGGAGGGGCTCCAGATGCCAACTTAACTTGATTCCTCCAATCACAGCATCACAGCAGGGGGTCTGTATATGGAGGCTTACACACACACACACACACACACACACACACACACACACACACGGATCTAAGCAGATGTGGCCAGAGGAGGATCTGGAGGCCTGTGGCCGTAACACGGGGCCTAAACTAAGAATAATCAAGGACTAAACCAGGACTAAATCAGGACTAAACCAGGTCTAAAACCAGGTGTAAACCAGCCCTCGTCTGCGTCCGGAGGAGGAGGAAGCTGAAAGGTCAAACCCCCCTCTGTACTCTGCACGTACACGACACACACACACACACACGAGCCGCACGGGCTTATGTCACTGCTCAGCCTTCAGTGTTCCACAGTGTGACATTAAACATCTCTACTTCACATTTATTCAGTTACAAGTGGTTTTACAGCTCAAAAATACCAAGAAAAACAAACGTTCTGACCGTCAGCGGCGTCGCCTCTCCACAGATCTGACCTTTAAACTTGGTCTGGTTTGAAGATAGAAAGGTTTAATGCCGTACTGCGGAACATTCCAGATGAATCCGTGTGTCATTCGTTCATTCGTTTTTTTAAATAAAACCAAAAAAAACAACAATTTTCTTCATTATTTGTCTCCAAAACCAAAATGAAAAAAACAGATAATGATTTGTTTTTTTCAGTTTTTGATTTGTGTTTAAATGAAGAATGGAAAAAAAAAAAAACGGATAACGGACTGAGCCAGGACTGATCCAGGTCCTGGGACCAGACTGGAATTGAGATTGAGACAAGAGCTCAGAGCCCACGGCAGGACCAGAACTCAAAGCTGAGGCTCGGACCCTGCGGAGGCTCGGAGTCAAAAATTGGAGTCCGCTCTGGTCCCGCTCTGTTCCCGCTCTGGTCTCAGTCTGGTCCGACTCTGGTCTCAGTCTGGTCCCGCTCTGGTCCTGGTCTGGTCCCGGTCTGGTCTTGGTCTGGTCCGCTCTGGTCCCGGTCTGGTCTTGGTCTGGTCCCGCTCTAGTCTTGGTCTGGTCTTGGTCTGGTCCCGCTCTGGTCTTGGTCTGGTCCCGCTCTGGTCCCGGTCTGGTCTTGGTCTGGTCCCGCTCTGGTCTCTGGTCTGGTCCCGCTCTGGTCCCGGTCTGGTCTTGGTCTGGTCCCGTCTGGTCTCTGGTCCCTGGTCTCTGGTCTGGTCGGTCTGGTCTGGTCTCGCTCTGGTCCTCTGGTCTCTGGTCTGGTCTGGTCTGGCTGGTCTGGTCTGGTCCCGTCTGGTCTGTCTGTCTCTGGTCTGGTCTGGTCCCGTCTGTCCTGGTCTGGTCTCGGTCTGGTCTTGGTCTGGTCTCGCTCTGGTCCCGCTCTGGTCTCGGTCTGATCCCGGGCTGGTCCCGGTCTCAGTCTCTGGTCTGGTCCTGCTCTGGTCTCACTCTGGTCCCAGTCTCAGTCCCGCTCTGGTCCTGCTTTGGTCTCGGTCTCAGTCCTGGTCTGGTCCCGGACCTGGATCAGTCCTGGTTCAGTCTGTACACGGTGCAAAAGTCCGACATCGCAGTCACGGACGTCACGTAAACGGGAAACGTCCGTTATCGTTTTTTTTTTTTTTTCATTTTTCATTTAAACACAAAATTGAAAACTGAAAAAAATTATCATTATCTGTTTTTTCATTTTGGTTTTGGAGACAAATAATAAAGATAAATACTTTTTTTTTTCCCCATTTTCTTATATTTGGTTTTATTTTGAAAAAATTCAGATGAAGCAATAACGTCTCCATGAAGAAAAGCGTTTGACAGAAGCTCCACCAGAAAAGTTACACAATGCGCCTTTAAATTTACCTTCTGCTCACGTGATTTTTAATATATATTTTTTTTTCTGCAGAAAGAGAAAAACCCGACACTATTTACGCCAATGTCGCCACCGTAGAGACACCTCAGCCGAAGGAACTCACAGGTAAAGTTCTCCTCGTTTACTGTTTACTGTGACGTAAATCCACCTGAACGAGCTCGAGTTTGTGTTTCGGAAACCCTGAAATAAAACATACAATAGACAAATCAATGAGAATAATATATATATATATATATATATATATATATATATATATATATATATATATTTATATATATGTTAAAAAAAATATAAACCTGAGCTGGGCCTGATCAATGCAGCGTACCAAGAGTTACAGTCGTCAAGCCGCGAGGTCACAAATGCATGTTTGATTTAATTTGACTTAAAATTCTTAACTGATTAAAAACTTTATTTAAGAACAGAGTTTATTTGGTTTTGAAATAAAAAATTGGGCCTGGTCAAGCAGAAGTAAACAACAAGGCCAAAAATTCAAGTTAATTCATCTGATATAAAAATGTATTGAACAGATACATATGTACTCTAGTTTATCAAACTGTTGACCTTTTTTCTGGACCATTTTTGGTTGTAAAGTTCCATATGTTTTAAACAGACCATGTATGAAACATGGAACAAAAATTATTTCCCAAATTTCAAAGACCCAAAAATCATGTAAATAAATGTTTGTATTTCATCATATCTTGTGTTATTCCATCTTTGAACTGTTGATGAAGGGACAGGATTTAAAAAAAAAACCAAAAGTATTTAAAATGATCAAAATTAGCTTGGAAGGACTGACATATTTTATAGAAATAGTTTCTTTCATTTTGAAGTAATATTAAAGTATTCAGAAGAAAAAAGTGACAAATGATGTAAAATCCTGCACCTTCTACTTGTTTGTACAATTTTCCCTCCGTTACTTTTCCCTCCGTTACCATGACCTTTCTTAATAAAAAATCTCATTATTAATTATTAAGAGGTTTTTCAACCTAATCTTGTACCATATGGTAGAAAACTATATGAAGCAAATATTCAAACCAGTTTGTTAAGGATATGTAAGTGAGAACCAAGAGTTATCACTGTTTGGATTTATTGACCAAAAAGTGCTGCATATTTCATTCCCTCCGTTACCGACATGAGTTTTTAAATTTTTTGTCTTGAACTTGAAAGAATCTCACAGGTTTAACTTGACCCTGTTGGAGTGTAACTCTTTCCTACATTCTGATACTTTACTTATTTCAATAGTCCCTCTAGTTTCTGAATAAGAGACATTTGAATGTCAAAAATCTGACCCCTAACACTTGCACTTGGACCCAAATGCAATCAAAAATTATACCAAGGTTTCTAGAAAATACCTTCTAGAAACCTGATTTGATTGGCCATTCTCTGCACTTTCTCGAGGTGGAGGTCGGTTTTACTTGAGTCCCGAGCGCAACAGAACGCAGCGTTATTCTGGATCTCTCTAAATTTGCATCTTTCAAATTTTCATTGTTCACCACACGATGACATCAGGAGGTGGGACAGGACATTGTAAATTTATTTGTTTAAACCAGTGGTGCTCAATACGTCGATCTCGATCTACCAGTCGATCACCAAGGTCGTGTGGGTAGATCTCCGTGTCTCGTCTCGGACTCGCGTTTGGACTCGGTCTTGTCTCTCACTCGAGGTCTGACACTCAACAAGTGTGATCATATTTCATTCCGGCCGCTGCTGTTGGTAATAAACTTGTAGCGGGTGCAGGAGCGTGTGGGGCGTCTCAGTGCAGCCTGTGCGCTCATTTGAAACCCGCGGAGACTCTACGGCGCATCACAAACACACACGCTCCCTATGCACGGCTCGTCTGCGACAGCGTGTGCCCTCGTGTACCAGCGTGCATCACAGGGCAGGTTCAACTTCCTAAACATCCTACCTGTCCATCTGCCTCACGTCAGCACGCCGCCCCTCGCCTTTTCACGCTCTCGCTCCTTCCTGCGTACAGCCAACACAAGCCCCTCCCACAGTGCGGCTGATTAGAAGAACAAGACCAAACGTGAAGCAAAAACCAGTCTAAATTTGTGTTCCAGTGTTGGCACAAAGCAGGTCTACAGCATAGAGCGGATCTACAGAACAGACCTACTGCCACATTTGGCTGAAGTTTGTCAAACAAAAGTGATAAATGCATCTGTGTTTGTCACGATGTGTGTTTGGTTTGGTAAATGTGCAGAGGCTGGTAAATATCACTGCAAAACCAGAAAAGAATGAAACTCCAGTTTGGAACTTTAAAAAACAGGTTTAAAAATCTTCCTTCACTTTTTTCACAGTTTTGTGTAAAGTGCCAGAGGAAGTTCTCTTAAAGAAGAGGTTCTCAAACTGTGGGGGAGGGTCCAAAAAAGGGACACAGAGTGTTTCAGTGCAGTTTGTTTGGCGTGTGAACACCTCTGGGTTAGACGACACAGTAGGACAGACAGACAGATACAAACATTCAGAAAGAAAAAACTAAAATCATTTGGCATCGGGTGAAAAGTGACATCGCTTCTTTCCATTTGTCATTGTGTTTTTGTTCCTTTGCTTTTTGCAGATTTGAAAACTGGAGACGACTCAGAGTTTTACTCAACCCTGCAGCTCAACTTTATGTGAGAGGATGTACAAAACCCCCACGCAAACATCTCCGTGAAGTTGGCCTCCAACAAACCATCACACCTACACAAAAAGATATCAATCATTTCGGTTTCGTATACGCTGCAAAAAGTTTCGATTGTGCTGCTTTAGTTTTAGAAATATTAACGATTCTTTACAGGTGAAAGTGAGGTCAGCAGCCTCCAGGGAGAGTCAAAAATGTTCTAAAACGACACGAAATGGAGTCAATCGTTTGAGTTTCATTTGTGTTGCAAAAAGTTTGGTTTGTGCAGCTCTAGTTTTGGAGATATTAACGATTCTTTCATGTTTCAGTCTTGAGTAAGTTGCTTTTGATTCATATTTTATTGTGACGACCAGCTCGTTTGGGCGTGAGGGAAGTAACAAAAACAGTCAAGATGGAAAAATGATTAAACATTATTTCATTTATCCCAACAGGGGTGTAAAAGGTAAATTAACAAAAGACTAAAATATACAGAAAATAACCTAAACTAAGGCTGCGTTCGGACTGCAGCCTGAAGTGACCCAAATCCGATCTTTTGGCGTCTATGTTCCTGTATCTGATCTTTTAATGACGTCTGTTTTTAACATGTCCAACATTTGGATATTTTACAAACACTGCCTCAAATTTGAAGAGGAGAATTTTCGAGCAGAAATCTGTGATAAACCAAAAGCACATGTGTAAAAGTCCAGATTCTACAAGAACATTTGACAAATTTTAACCCTTGAAAATTTGAAGGAGCTTAAATAGTTTTTTAGATACAGAAATCTGAAAGTGGAAAACTCTGCTCAAAACAGGTCAGGGCAGAGTTGACAAAATATTTTTTTAATTACAAAACTATAAGGAGTTGGAAGATAAAATTTTTCTGTTGGAAAGTTTGTGAACCTCCAAGAATTTTTTCAGTCAAATCCTGAGACAGTCGAGCAGAACATTGGGAGATTTGGCCCGGAATGACCCTAATATCTCCGAAACTAAAGCAGCACAAACGAAGCACAAACGATGGACATTATTTTGTGTGGTTTTATTTCATTTTGAAGCTTCCTGGAGGCTGCCGACCCCAATTTGACCTATAAAAGAATCGTTAATGGGCCAGTCCACGTCAAATCTCCGAATGTTCCTCTTGACCATCTCAGGTTTGAAAAAAATTCTAAGAGGTTCACAAACTTTCCAACAGGAAAAGCCCCAAATTTTTTCTCCCAACTCCTTATAGTTTTGTCATTAAAATATTTTGTCAGCTCTGCCCTCACCTGTTTTGAGCAGAGTTTTCCGAGGAGCCACTTTCAGATTTCTGTATCTAAAAAACTATTTAAGCTCCTTCACATTTTCAAGGGTTAAAATTTGTCAAATGTTCTTGTAGAATCTGGACTTTTACACATGTGCTTTTGGTTTATCACAGATTTCTGGAGGCTTGAATTTGCTGGAAAAAATCAAATCAAATCTGATCTTTGAAAGACTGTGGAAAGAATTTTTTCTGTCAAATCTGAGATGGTCGAGTGGGACGTTCAGAGATTTGGCGTGAAATGACCCTAATATCTCCAAAACCAAAGCAGCACGAACGAAGCACAAATCTGATCTTTGAAGGAACGGTGGAAAGTTTCACAGACAGAGGTTTGATATTGAACATAAACCTTCCCACACACGACACTGTGGACTTTGTATTTTAAAACTGAACCTCTGTGATGAACGATCTACAAGATATGAAGTGTTCAAGATGGAAAACATAAATTTGGTGCATCTTTACCAAGTTATACCAAAAAAAATGAAGCACCCACCAACAGAAAATGGACAGTTTTAGAAAGACTAGACGTCTGTTTTTAAAATGTCCAACATTTGGATTTGAAGAGGAGAATTTCTGAGCAAATTCAAGCCTCCAGAAATCTGTGATAAATCAAAAGCTCATGTGTAAAAGTCCAGATTCTACAAGAACATTTGACAAATTTTAACCCTTGAAAATTTGAAGGAGCTTAAATAGTTTTTTAGATACAGAAATCGGAAAGTGGCTCCTCGGAAAACTCTGCTCAAAACAGGTCAGGGGGGAGTTGACGAAATATTTTAATGACAAAACTATAAAGAATTTTGGACTTTTTCTGTTGGAAAGTGTGTGAACCTCCTAGAATTTTTTCTTCGACGGTCGAGCGAAGCATTCGGAGATTTGGCCTGGAATGACCCTAATATCTCCAAAACTAAAGCAGCACAAACGAAGCACAAACGACTGACACGATTGAGTTTTTGTGTTTGTTTGTTTGTTTGTTTGTTTGTTTGTTTGTGTTTGTTTGTGTTCGATGGCGGCGACTTCACAGAGTCACACAAACCTCCTCCAGTCACCGGACGTATGATTGTATTTTTACAGTTTTGGACCTTATGCACTTTTGAGTGTCGCGAACTGTAGAATAATCAAACATGAGAGCAGCTCATGAATGTACATTTAGTTTTTTAATGTATTATGTAAATTAATGATGTAAATAAAATCGACTTTGTGATTTCTGTGCGTGTGTGATAAAACGTTTTTGTATGAAGTGAATTCAAGTCGAGGGATTTTTAAAGGAACGACGTCAGAAGTTGAAGCAGGAGTTGGACTTGAAACTAGATCTTTATTTATTAAAGATGCACTGTGTAACTTTTTGGTTGGGAGTCTGTCTCAATCAATCAAACTTTGATTTATGGAGAGGTTTTTATATAAAAATGCAACACAAAGCGCTTCACAGTGACATCATTATCTTTTATTTCTTCTTCTAACCATCTAAAATCTGACATATTTTCTTTACAACGAACTGTCTGGAACAATCTGTGTGTCGTTTGTTTATTCATTTTTCAAAATAAAACCAAAAATAAGAGAACGAAAAAAAGAAAACAACAATTTTATTCATTATTTGTCTCCAAAACCAAAATGAAAAACTGAACTGAACCACGACTAAACCGTTTTCAGTCCTGGTCTGGTCCTGGTCCTGTTCCTGGTCTCAGTCCTGGTTCCGGTCTGGTCCCGGACTCAGTCTTGGTCTGGTACTGGTCTCAATCACAGTCTGGTCCTGGTCTGGTCTCGGTCTCAGTCCTGGCCTCAGTCCTGGCCTCAGTCCTGGTCCTGTTCCCGGTATCAGTCCCGGTCTCAGTCCTGGTCCCGGACTCAGTCTTGGTCTGGTACGGGTCTCATTCACAGTCTGGTCCTGGCCTCAGTCCCGGTCTCAGTCCCAGTCTCAGTTCTGTTCCTGTTCCCGGTCTCAGTGCCGGTCTCAGTCCCGGTCCTGGTCCTGGTCTGGTCCTGAACTCAGTCCTGATCTGGTCCTGGTCTCAGTCCTGGTCTGGTCCTGGTCTAGTCCCGGTCCTGTTCCCAGACTCAGTCTTGGTCTAGTCCTGGACTCAGTCTTGGTCTGGTACTGGTCTCAATCACAGTCTGGTCCTGGTCTGGTCCTGGCCTCAGTCCTGGTCTCAGGCCCGGTCCTGGTCCCAGTGTGGTCCCAAACTCAGTCCTGATCTGGTCCTGGTCTCAGTCCTGGTCTGGTCCTGGTCTAGTCCCGGCCTCAGTCCCATTAAAAAAGAGAGAGAGACATTAATTAGATAATTTAGAGAGAAGAGTGAATGAAAACCTTTCAGTTATTTGCACAGTTAAACAGAAATGTTTTGAGTCTGGATTTAAACAGCGTCACAGAAGAGTCTGTCTCACATGTTCAGACTGTTCCAGGTTTTAGCTGCATGAACCTGAAACTCTGACTCCCCTTGTTTAGTCGTGACTCTGGGCACCAGCAGGAGTTGGTCCCTGAGCTCCTCAGAGTGTGAGATGTTCATATGACACTAACATGTCACAGATGGACTTTGGTGCTCGGCCATGGAGACACTTGTACAAACAGAGCTGCTTTAAAGTCTCTGAGCCACAGGAGCCAGTGCAGAGACCTGAGACCAGGACTTATGTGCTCGTACTTCCTAGTTCGAGTCAGGACCCGAGCTGCAGCGTTCTGGATGTTCTGGATGTTCTGGATGTTCTGGATGTTCTGGATGTTCTGGATGTTCTGCAGCGTCTCACAGCTCGTTTGGAGAGACCAGTGAGCAGAACATTACAATATCTAACCTACTGGAGACAAACACATGGATAAGTTTCTCCAAGTCTGATTTAGACAGTAAACCTTTGATTTTTGCTCTGGTTTTTTTAGATGATAAAAAGCTGCAGATGTTATTGATCTGATGTGGCTGTTAAAGATCAAGTCTGAGTCCATTATTACCCCGAGATTTCTTGCCTGATTTGAAGGTTTAAGATCAGGGGTGTCAAACTCATTTTGTTCCGAGGCCCGTATCCAATTTACTTTGATCCCAAAGTGTCCGGATCAGAAAACTCATGTCATATAAACCTCAAAAATAACAATAAGTTCAAATATTTGTGCAGAGAAACACAAATCTATTACAGAAATCTTTTTTAATTGATGAACTCTTTCTTTTACAAAATATTATAATATTATGAACAACCTGAAACTTTAAGAAAAATACAATTTCAACACAAAGTTTTAACATGAACTTGTCTGTAAACAGGAATAAGTCCATTTTTGTTGTAAAATTCTGCACTCGGCTCCACTTTTCTCATGTTGGACATTTTTCTGATGAGGGTGTCACGGTCAACAGTCAAAACGATCGTCCTTTAAGAGCGTTTGGAAAGAGACAAGTCTTCATTTGTGCTGCTCTGGTGGGAGGGGCCACGTACAGAGACGCTGGAGACGCTGCTGTGATAAACACCACAGAAAATTAACACGATTTTAATAGAAAATATCATTAAATATTTGAGTAGGAAATCAGCCGAGGGCCAGATTAAAGGTCTTGGAGGGCCGGATCTGGCCCCCGGGCCGTATGTTTGACACCTGTGTTTTCGAGAGAGAGACTGGAGGTGACGCTCACTGTCTCTTTGTTTCTGTGGATCAAACACTGTGACTTCAGTCTCGTCTGAGTTTAGAAGGAGAAAGTTGTTTTGCATCCAGATAAAAGCACAAGATTTGTGCCACAGTTAATCATAGATCCACCTTCTTACCTATAAATAACTACACTCTATTTTTAAAGTGAGATGTGTCAGTGCTAAAAACAAAAATGAGGAAATAAATAAATGACTCGTGATTTGTTGTTTTCCGCCAAAATAAACTCATGATCTTGACTCGTGATATGAAACTCCTCGGGACTTTTAATTTAAGGAAAACAAAAACAGAGTCAGGTGCATGTCACGTGACGAGTAAAACGGGGAGTTTACACGATGTTATCACTTCACTTTCCTTCATCACATTACATCATCGTTTTGCTCTTTGATGTGTCATGAGTTTAATTGCTCTAATTACCTTGGAGAATGTGCTGATGTCCCACACTCTTACAGAGACGTGGAGAGTAAACGAAGTGTGTAATTAATGAATTATGAATTATGCACTTGACCCATTTATGTTTGACATAAATGAGTCAGTACAGCCACATTTTCTTTGGGTTTTGGTTGTTTTATTTTGTATTTTATCAAAACAAATTACAGTTTATGTTTCTCTTTACTGTTGGCAGGATCAGACTGGTCAAAAATAAAGAAACCTGAGACATTTTTTTGTATAAAACTGGGACAAATCAGTGGGTTTGGATAAATCCAAGACAGTCCACATTTAGTCCATGTTTGGTCCATGTTTGGTCCATGTTTAGTCCATGTTTAGTCCATGTTTGGTCCATGTTTAGTCCATGTTTAGTCCATGTTTGGTCCATGTTTAGTCCATGTTTGGTCCATGTTTAGTCCATGTTTAGTCCATGTTTAGTCCATGTTTCCAGTCCATGTTTGGTCCATGTTTAGTCCATGTTTGTCCATGTTTAGTCCATGTTTAGTCCATGTTTGGTCCATGTTTTGTCCATGTTTAGTCCAGTTTGGTCCATCCATGTTTAGTCCATGTTTGGTCCATGTTTAGTCCATGTTTGGTCCATGTTTGGTCCATATTTAGTCCATGTTTGGTCCATGTTTATGTTTAGTCCATGTTTGGTCCATGTTTAGTCCATGTTTGGTCCATGTTTAGTCCATATTTAGTCCATGTTTGGTCCATGTTTAGTCCATGTTTGGTCCATGTTTAGTCCATGTTTAGTCCATGTTTGGTCCATGTTTAGTCCATGTTTGGTCCATGTTTGGTCCATGTTTAGGCCATGTCCATATTTAGACAAGAGTGAAAAAATGCATAGCACACTCAGATGGCCGATGTCCAAAAGCTTTTTTATTTTCAAAATAACGTTTCGGCAAAAAAAAAGCCTTTCGTCAGATGTTTTTCTTGCTTTGGACCACAGTACACAAAATGGTTGCCAGCCCAGGTGAACATATCCCCCTCCAATGAACGGGAGGTCCCAAAGTGAGGTCACCCAGTGAGTTCAGCCCACTCTACAACCAGAAACAACAGTTTAGATATTTACATAAAAAAACATTTTATAAAATACAGAAATGATAGACTTATCTATTTTATAAAATAAATATAAATGTATTTTATAAAAACTTCAGTCACATGTGTCCGTAGTTCTGCTCTGAGCCAAAACTGAAGCATAAAGTTAGATTAGTTTTTGCTCTTCTAATCAATAAATCACAGCTGAAGTTCTTTATTGCAACATGGACAACAGTCTATTATCATTTTGTTGTTTTTTCTTTGTGTCTGAGCCAAACTGAAGCAGAAAGTGACCAGAAAGTTCCTCTGATACTTGGGAGCCACAAAACACAAGTCATGTTCCTTTAATTCGATGAGCTGTTCTGTTCTGTTTATGTCAGAAACACTGAAGGAAAATCAAAGTAAAAGCTCAGACTCCGTAAAAAAAGATTCTCACTATTCAGACTCAAATGATTTTTGTTCACTTCCTTTTGCCTCTCAGTGAGTGCGTTTACATGCACATCAATAACCCGGTTATTATCCATATCCCGGTTCTGTCAGTGTTCGTGTTACTGTGTTTACATGAGCACTGAGAAACCGGGACACTCATATCCGCGTGTACATGATCAAATGGAGTGTCCCGGTTTCTTGACATAATCTTACAAATGCGCAGGCGCAAAAATGAACTTAAATCAATTTCATAAACCAGGAAAAATACAAACCGTGAGCTCCTTTAGCATAAGAAGCTAAGGAGCTACGAGATCTCCCACAATCCACTGTGCAGATTCTTCATTAAAATCTTCTGCATAAATAAACTCAACTTTACAACATATAAACCATAAACACTATAGACACATCAGCCCGTTTGATCAGATAATTCAGCTCTGATCACATTTGTTTACGTTTTACAGAAACGAAACTTAAGACCCTTTGGCTAATTAGCATAAACTGTTAGCGGCGATAAAAAACAACTCGCTCCTTGTGCCGCTGATGCGATCAGTTTCTTTTGGACTAAATGACACGACTCTGTGGATTATGTGTGTTATTTCTGTGACAGAAGAGGTGCTGATGATGGTGAGTGTGTTCTGTGTGTGTGTTGTATAGGAGATAGTTCATGTTTTAGCTTTTCAGCGTCACACGAGTGCAGGTCGTACGAGTGCAGATTGTACATGTGCAGGTTTAGCGCAGCTCTTTATTTTACAGTCATTTCACTCGTTTGGTCACTTTATTTATGTTGGTCAATTTATTTATGTCACTACTGTTGTGGTGAAAGGCTGGAAAGTGTCTTTGGACGCATGCGACTCAACTTTATGTTGCAGTAACTGGGTACTGCGTTTACATGCCACAAGTATCCTGGGTACTATCGGAATAACCCAGCTACAATAACCCGGTTTCTAAATAACCGGGACACTGCCATAACCGGGTTACTGAAACCGGGTTACTGCGTTTACATGCACCATCAAGAAACCGGGATACTCAAAAAACCTGATCATAACCGGGTTATTGATGTGCATGTAAACGCACTCATTGTCTTTTCCCACTAGTAATCTAAGACTCCTACCTTTTCCTGCAGTTTTTTTGTTTGTTTTTGTAAACAGACACACAAAACATGAATTTATAATGAATCATATGTTTCAAATCACATTTGACGAGCACACAGTTCAAAATCTTCACCACCTCATTTTGTCACTTTGTGCTTTTCAGGCGGAAAGTCTGAAAAGCACAAAGTGACCAAAAGTCAGTGTTGTGTTATAAACGCTACGTCACGAGACAATAAATCAAACTTTGAGACGATTTTCTTCAGTTTAACTCAAATTTATTTTTCTATTCTGCATCACTTTGACGACTCAGGGGCTTTTCCAAAACACGAGAAGAAGAAGCAGTTAGACCACGTCGTACTGCTTCTGTGGAGGCTTTTTGGGATCTGATCTGAAACAGACCAGAACCTTAGACCTGAACCAGTCCAGAACCTTAGACCCGATCCAGTCCAGAACCTTAGACCTGATCCAGTCCAGAATGTTAGACCTAAACCAGACCAGGACCCAAGGCCAGATCCAGACCGGGACCTGAAACCAGAAACAGGCCAGTAAAATCATGATTATGAACACCAGGAGCCCCAGCACAGCCCATGGCCGAGGCCTCCAGGTCCTAGCGCCCCCTGGTGGTGCCTCTTGAGGTTCCTCAGGTGGTTCTTCTTGTCTGGGTCCAGGTGCAGCGGCCGAAGGAAGAAGTTCAACTGTAGAGGAATAACTGACCATGATGGAGCAGGTCTTTTTGTCAGAGTTTGGTGAAACAGCGCCCTCTGTTGATAGACCCTGTGCAGCTGAATTTCGGTAATTGGAGTGAAGCCAAGTCACGAAGTTTGTCCCGACGGTTGTGATTAATAATAATGAAAGTGTTCAGGTTAATGGGCGGAATTTGGTCGGAGATGGGATTTTGGTCAGAGATGGGGTTTTGGTCGGAGATGGGATTTTGGTCAGAGATGGGGTTTTGGTCGAGAGGGATTTTGTCAGAGATGGAGTTTTGGTTGGAGATGGGTTTTGGTCAGAGATGGGAGTTTTTGGTTGGGAGATGGGATTTTGGTCGGAGATGGGGTTTTGGTCGGAGATGGGAATTTTGGTCAGAGATGGGATTTTGGTCGGAGATGGGATTTTGGTCGGAGAGATGGGATTTTGGTCGGAGATGGATTTTGGTCAGAGATGGATTTTGGTCGGAGATGGGATTTTGGTCGGAGATGGGATTTTGGTCAGAGATGGGATTTTGGTCAGAGATGGGATTTTGGTCGGAGATGGGGTGTTGGGAGGTAATGGGGTAAATATTTCAGTGACTCACTCACTAATGACTCAGATCGATCAATCAATCAATTAATCAAAGTGATCAATCAATCTAAGTGATCGATCAATCAATCAAAGTGATTGATCAATCAAAGTGATCGATCAATCAGTCACCTCAGTCACATTGGGGTTGCTGGTTCGATGCCAAAATGTAGTCGATTTAAACCTAAAATCTTGATCAAATGTGACGTCACAGTGAGTCATCATCATTATTATTATTTTTATAATTAACACCATAACTACTATCCTTAAACAAATACTTCTCCTGTTACTATGGAGACTATTGTTGTTGGTGGTTATAAATAGCAGCAGAAACTCGTTCAACTGGTTCCATGAGTCATTTCTCTCTGTTGCATCATCGGTTAAAGGTTTATTTTATGATCCGTTGCCGTGAGCCGTGTGCGACGGTGGCTCCCCTTGTGCCTGCCCGGCCCAACACGCTGAGCAGTTTTTGCTGATGTTTTTGTTTTGAGCTCAGTTTTTTCCACATCGTATCGTGGGATTTCAACCAACCAAGAAGTGCAGAGTGTGCAGCTCCAAGGACACGAGTAAAGGACTGAAGGATTGTAGGAAATGAACTGTTTGCTTTTTTTGTTGTTTTTTTCTGTTTCCATGGAGACGTGTAAGAAGCTACAGGCTTTTTGACCCATATATTTTTAGTTGTAGTAGGTTTTTTTTTTTGACTAATAAAACCTATAACAACCATTCAATTTGTTTGTTTATGTGAAATTAATGTCAAAATGATCCCACAGAAACATTGTTAAGCACAGAAAAGGATTCAAACTATTCAGTGCATTTTATCTGTTCCATCTTTGTCCATCTTTATCTCACTCTAATAATAATAATAATGATAATAAAAATAACATACAATGATATAACATAATAAAAATAGACCATATGATTTAAGAATAGAAATATAAACCAAATATATAGTTGGAGGCCGTGTGAAAAAGACAAGCCTCAAAACTTCTACTACTAATGAGCTACTAATTATAATTAACAGAAAACATATTATCCCAATATTCAGAGTTCCCACTATTTGCCACTCTGACAAAATTTCAAAACTTTTCCAAGAATTTTCCATGAGCTAAAGTGAATTTTCCATGACTTTACAGCCCCTACATTTGTAGAACTGGTCAGACTTTTAGGGCTAAATATGAAAAATATGAAATGAACTCTTTCTACTCACCTTATGGTTAATTTAGTTTAGTTTTTTTATATATAATTTGTCAATTCTGAGGGAGTGGATACCCAGCACATCAACAACAAGACAGACATAACAAAATATAAACCTAACACACGTACAAAGAAAGAAAAAAGAAGAAGAGGAAAAAAAATAAAAATAAGGAGGGGGTAGGAGGGGTTGGGGTTTGGGGGGTAGTACAGAGTTTCTCAGTGCAGTGTTTGCATGTGTGTATTTACGTTTTAGGGCTGTCAAATCAAATTTACATTTACATATTTTCTGTTCCTTTCCCATAACTTTCGTTTGTTTGTTTTTGGTAACCCCAAAACGCACTTACACATACATTACATTATACAATCATTTACCTATACATATATCTATACATATATAGACATTGTCCAACAGTATGTTGTTCTTATTTTACTGTGCTTTGTCCAAATGGGATTATAGTTTTTGAACATTCAAAATCCTGTCAGTGCATTTATTTTCATCTCTTTTAAACAAAAGACACAGACGAAAGAGAAAGAGAAAAGAAAGAGAGACTAAAATTCCATGACTTTTCCAAAACTTTCATTCAGTTTACAAAAATGCCATTCCAGGCCTGGAAAATGCCATGTTCAGTTTCCATGATTTTTCCAAGATTTGCATGACCGTGGGAATCCTGGATATTGCTCAAATCTCAGATCAAACTGATGTTTTTTGTCATAGACTTAAACTATTACTGTATTTTATAAAATAAATATAAATGTATTTTATAAAAACTTCAGTCACATGTGTCCGTAGTTCTGCTCTGAGCCAAAACTGAAGCATAAAGTTAGATTAGTTTTTGCTCTTCTAATCAATAAATCACAGCTAAAGCTCTTTATTGCAACATGGACAACAGTCTATTATCATTTTGTTGTTTTTTCTTTGTGTCTGAACCAAACTGAAGCAGAAAGTGACCAGAAAGTTCCTCTGATACTTGGGAGCCATAAAACACAAGTCATGTTCCTTTAATTCGATGAGCTGTTCTGAGTTTATGTCCAAAACACTGAAGGAAAATCAAAGTAAAATCTCGGACTCCGTAAAAAAAGTCTCACGATTCAGACTCAAATGATTTTTGTTCATTTCCTTT